TCCTCGATCAGTTTCATGCGTAGGTAGTAACTTCACCATAGAGGATGTCTGCAAACAGGGACTGAACCACAGGGAATTGACTGATTGTGAACTGAAGATTGATTACGAGTTCAAGTCCATAAATGTAGAGGTTTGTGTTCTCATTGATGTCATCAATTCACACTCATTCCTTTGCAACTTCAGTTTGAATATGTCTGCAAAGAAACAGCTCTGGTGAAAAGTAGCATTTCTGTTCAAATGACCGGTGTGTTAGTTGGTACCCTCCTGTTCGGAAGCTTGTCTGATCGTTTTGGAAGATTAAAAGTTGGTGACACCTGCTTCTCAAATAAGGAATTTTTCAGATTCTTATGTTCTCTTTCTCAATGACATCTTTCGTTTCTATCTTCTGTTCGTTTTCGACTTCTTTAACCATGTTCACCGTTTTGAGAACAATTCTAGGATTTTTCACTGGCGGTGTCATTGGGTAGGCTCATTCTTGTCATCTTATATATTCCTGATTGCGCTGAGTTTAGAACATACGGAGTTTATAAAATGGAACAAATTCCTAAGAAACATCGTTTCTGGGTTGCAACAGTCATTGCTTGGGCCCCCAACTTCATATTTATAAACGCGATTGGTAAATATTTTTTGTATAATAGAGCAAATCAGATTCCTGTTCAGCTTTCCTTGCAAATGATTGGCGTACTTTCCAACAGATCATTTTTGCTATTAGTTGTCCAGCTTTTGTGCTCTACTTGTGAGTGTTTTTCGAAAAGCCTTAACTTTCCAACTGTTTCTAGTTACGTCTACGAATCACCTCGTTGGTTGATCCAAAGAGGAAGAATCAGTGAGGCCAGAGAAGTAATGCAGAACATTCAGAGGATAGACAGAGCTAATGACTTGAAAAAGGAAGAAATGGAGAAAATGCTCGATGTCGAATATCAAGTGATACTTCTTCCGGGTGGACTATTTTCATTTTTTTATTCAGAAGCACTTGGCAAAGGAAGGAAAGATGAAGAATTATACTATTCGTCATCTCTTCTACACCCCCAGCATGGCGCTGGCTACAGTAGTACTATGTTCCGGAGTGTGCGTTCTATTACTATGAAGAAATTAAAACGAGAATGATGATTTCAGATTTTTCACAAGTATGATAAATTATGGGCTTGTGTTCAATATGGAAAGCTTGGCTGGTTCTTTATTCTTGAACTCAGTTATTATGGGGTTATTACGTTGGTTTATAAATATCATTACCGGAGTCCTAGACTACAAGTAAACTAAATCCCCTTACAATAAGACACACATCCTCTTACAGATACAAAGTGGTTGGAAGAAAGCTGGTTCATTTTGTCTCCCAAGCCACGATCGCTTTTTCACTTGGATCAATCGCGACCATATACTATTTCGGTAGCTCGCATCAATTTGTTATTTGTGACTTTCTTTCATATTAAGACATTCATGAAGAATACAAAGGGTTCATTAGGTGGTCAACAATTATTGCTACGGCCACAACTTCTCAGGTCGTTGATTCCGTCTTCAATTTACTTTGATCGTATTCTAGATTTTCATCTCAAAAACTATTCTTGCAATGGAGTTTTATCCTACAGTGGTTCGAAACTCGGCTTTGGCGTTCAAATCTACTTGTAGTCGAGTGGGAACGATATGCGCTCCACAGTTGTTTATTTTGGTAGATTCATGATCTTACTCACAAGTATTGTATCAAACTTTCAGGCAGCATCCACTCTGACCATCCCCTACACTATCCTATTCTTAATGGCAACTGCTGACACCATTTTCTTCCAAATTACACTCCCAGAAACAAAAGGAAGAGCTTTACCGGAGAACCTACCACCCAAGAGAAGAAAGAAATCAGGTTTGGATGAAGAGGAAAAGATGATCCCTGCACCCAAAAATTCTCTTATGTATCCCTTGACAACAACCAAGAGCGAAGAAACTGACTCCAAGCTGTAGAAATTTAATTTTTGAAGTCTTCATCTTTATAATTATTCAATTCGTTGCCCATTCTGTGATTCTCATAAATATTTTGACTGTAACGTTCCTAGTTTTTCATTTTGCTCTAACTTATATGATCAAAGTATTTTCAGCTAACGTCATACATAACTCAATAAACTGTTACATATTGTATTCTGTGCATTTGTGTCTTTTGATATGTTGTATGTAGTTGACTAGAAAAAGCGAATCTAGCGGTGCTTTTAAGAATGATAAATCCAGAATACCAGAATTAAGAACAATTGTTGCGTTCCACACATATTCAATTTGCCCATAACGATTTCACGTGTCCAGTTGTATGTTTTTACTACATGTTGAGCATCAAAAACTAAATATCGTATTCACGCATTCAATTCGAATAAAATTAACCCGAAATAGACTTCAGCTGTGTCTGCTGTTGTTCAAACAGACAGAAAACTGAAAAAAAGATGTTTGGCTATGAGTAGTAAAAGATAATACGCTAGAACGGCAATATTATCTGATAACATCTGAATATAGAGCAACAGCTCTCGTAATGCTGGTTGAAGCATTGTTTGAAAACAATGAGACAGTAAATGGTAAGATGTAAACAGTTTATCTTTTCGTATAAACACGAAGTTGAACGTTTCTGTTAGATAAGCAGAGTGATGAAGACAGACAGGAGTGAAATAAAAAAAATTAAATGGCTGGTGCCATTGCATAGGTCTTCGTCACAACAACATAATGTCATTCCATGGGTTATTTTACATCCTTTCTTCTAAAAATGATGAAATGGAATAGTTCTCGCAAAAACCAAACTTCACAAGATGTCTGCAGTCTATTGAAAATAGGCTCATCTCCTTGACATCCACTGAAGTCTCCGGCAATAGAATAGTTCATAGAAGTTTGCTTATACATGCCACTTAGTCTGACAAAAATGGCAGACTTGCTTTAAAATATTTTCCGTCAGTTTCAAACCTTACACACCATTTTGTTGAAGAAGAGCAACGCGTCATATAATCATCTGAGTATTTCAAGGTAGCAGTACTGTTTTCGAATGTGCCTTGATAGAAGTTTTCATCATCATCGAAGTTTACTAAAGGACTTACCGAAGTTTGAAGTTTTGCATGTTAACGTGAATATAGTTTGAGCTAGACTTAAGAAACAGAGTAGTTTGAAAAGAAACATATCAATCGGAATGTTTTCAGTATCTATTCAGGTTGTAATGGCACCCTCAAAAGACAATGCCTATCACAAACAAACTGCCAAATAAGTCAATAGTAATGTTTAAGGTTTAACAGTTTTATTGTATTTCTATATCAAGTCATGACAGTGAAACGAGAAGTGGATGTGCAAGTTACATCTTCATAATCTGTTGATTCAGTGTTCCAGTAGTCATAGTGAGTTGAACTTTTTGTTCCTGAGAATAATGATGCTTCAGAGAAGACAGAAGGGGAATAACAAACCCGCTGTACAGGTAGTAGACTCTCCCACAGCGCAAGTAGTAAAACGCAATCCTACAAGAAAAACATTCTTCGCTACAGCAGCACTCTGAAAGTGAGTGAGTCGATAATTTTACACACACGAAATCATACACAACAGTGGAACCAACAAGAAGTTCCCGAGCTCTTCTTTGCTTTTGCATTTCTAGCACATGTTGTAGATGGAGTATTCTATACAGTTTTTCAAAATTTTTTTTCGCCTAATTTACCACTATGTTATCGTCTATCCAATTCACTCTCCATGCATTAGTTGTGGAACTATCAACAGAAGCTGCAAACTCTTGGTCTCCACATCTGGGACAACCATAACCATAGAAAATCAGACGAGAAGGAGGAAACAGATCTAGATCGACTAGTTTGGGTAACAGCATTTGAGATAGACAGCATCCAGTGGAATGCCCCACAGCCTTCAAATCAATCAACACATATATTGAGAGAAACTGATGATCTACCAAAATGGTATAATCACAAAATTCAATAGAGAGTTCCATCATAGCATCTCCCAGGCCATTTGACCAAAGCCTTTCGAAAGCTGTCACATAATCGTCTGCGACATTTCCAAATGTTTCGAAAGGTGCCATTGTCTGAAGAGCACATTATTGAAGTTTTGTAAGTGATGTCATTTGTCACCAAATCATTAAGCTGCTTTTGTCCGTTGGTTTTGAAGTTGTTCACATTGGCACTTCCTTTGAACGAAATCGCAATCACATCTTCTGTTTTACCTATTGCAATCTGAAACATCAATGTAAAGAGAACAACATAGTGTTGTTGGAAAAACAGTAGCATAGCATGGTCCTTGGAAAATAGTATCACTACAATCAGCTGTGTATCTAAAAGATCAATTCGTTGAAGCAAAGAAAAAAGCAAATGCTACCGTGAATGAAATGTGTAGAGGAAGTGTGTATCAATACAAGTGGCAGGATTGTTCGAACTGGCACATAAAGTCATAATTAATCCCTCAATATATGGTTAAGCAAATGAGGTAAGATTCATACACTTACATTCTGTGATATTTTCTCTACGTGAGCAAAACAGAAGGTTACGAAGAAGAGGATGATGATCATTGTCTAGTTCAACTGTCTCAATGCTTCTTTTTGGGTTCCTCATCCAACTTTCACACCATAGTTGTGAATTTGGATATAATACTCGTTCCAATATACCGTCATCGGCTTAGTATTTCATCATCAATTATAAAAGAATTAATCTCTATATACCTGTGCGTACATATATAGACAAAATTCCTTCATCTTTTTATTTCGCTATGACTATCACCAAGCAAAGTTGGTGAGTGCCGAAAGAGATATAAAATTTGAGATTGAAAAAGCAAACCTATCAAAGGTCTCGTTGAAAATGATGTAGCTATGGAAGAACACAGATATTGAGAGAAAGCAAACACTCACATCTATTCTATGAAATTATCTATTGCTCATTCTAACACTTTGATAAGAAGTATGAAAGCTTCCTGAATCGATTAGCGTCATGTGTGAGCAACACTTTAATTAATTTTTCATCATTTCCTTATTCTCTGTATTCATGCTTTTCTCTTGTTCTTGTCGTCAACCTTTTTTCACCATCTCTTCAGTATGTCTTCCATGCTTGTTCTGCCGTTCAAATAATTCGCCACCCATTCAGCGATTGCAGTCATTTGTTGACTTTACGTCATCTGTTAGCTGTCTTCTAAACTTTCTGTTTTCTTCAATCGATGCCATGTCTTGTTCACGATTTCTTTTATTCAAATTTTTTATTCATCAAACCCTCTATTACCACACATCTAATTCGCATTAGAAGTAGTAATCACATGTCATTCAGATAGTCTTATATAAATTCTAAGAGATGTTCAATGTCTGACGATATCCCAATCAGTGTGAGGAGACGACATGCACCCAATAAGCCAAGCGGTATTTCATTTGTTTTCAATTCAAATCAAACTTCCCCATTCTTTCGACGCTTTTGTGCTGTATGACTGACTACTAACGTTTCCGTACTCTAAATGTTTAAAAATGAATGTAAATCTGTTCATGTGAACTTAAAAACTAACACAAGTTCATATTTCTATCAGAATACGTTGTACTTGCAGATAAACCTTACCGACAGCAACAGTTAAAGTCAATTCGATTTCACCTTACAATAACAAAAGTTTTACCGATTGCTGTTTTGGGTGGCTTAATACTAGTGGGAGCAGGAACCGCCTTGTTCTTCGTCTCAAATAATTGTCAGTTACTTTCTCATTGTCAAAACCGAAGAGAAATTTTTGATGGAACTTCAAACGATTGTTATAGCTTTGGAAACGTCTATCGATTACACAGATTGTATAACTGAAAACGGGACTAGTGCAAAGGATATTATCAACTTTTCTTATCCAGATGGAGCTACAAAATGCGTCTTTGAGATAGAGTTAACGGACGAGTACAAAGTAAGAATTATGAGAGGAGCTGTTTGAAACTGTTTTTCTTCAGGGAGATGTGAAGTTCTTTTATGGCCTTACAGGATTTTATCAGAACTATCGACTTTATATGTTATCTCGTAATGATTATCAGCTTCTTGGGGATTTGAATAGCACTGACGAATGTGGTCCATTGTCCTTTGAATTATCAGGAGACGGCACAAGTTTACCCATTGTCCCATGTGGATTCATAGCTAACTCATTCTTCAATGGTGTAGACATCTTTTTTTTCTCTTTTGAACGTTTTCGTTCAGATACATTCAAGCTGTATTATCACCCAGCAGATAACGATACAGAAACTGTACGAGTTCCTTTCTCCACAAACGGAATCATTAGCAATACGGAAAAGAAACGTAAATTCAAGAACCCACCGTATAACAGATCTTATACACTATGCGATGCCTTCGCTGTAAATCTTAGATTCAAATATTTGACTGATAATCTATTGTAGAATACCGCAAAACCTCCATGGTGGCAAAAACCTATTTGTATGTTAGGAGTGACCGATGATGAAGAAGATACATCAGGAGCTGGAGTTGGTTTAGAGAATGTAGATTTGATGGTTTGGATGAGAACAGCAGCACTACCAAGTTTCCGTAAATACTATAGGAACTTAGACAGAGAAGTTTGAAGACCAAATGAGACAGGAGTCATAATTTTGATATAGTCTGACTACTTCCACAATGGTTTGCAGAAAGGAAACTATACATTAGTCATCAATTATAGTAACAACTTATTTTCTTTTCAACGTCCATCTTGACACATTGCAGATTACAACCCACATACATTCAATGGTAAAAAGATGTTTGTAATTGCTCGTGAGTCATGGATGGGTCCTAGGAACCTCTTCCTCCCGATAGTCTGCATGGTGACCGGTAGTTTTAGCATTTTAGCCTTCTTAGGAATATTTTTGTGCTTTACCATTAGAAAGAAGTTCACAAAAGTATAGGTTTTCTATTTCAATTTTCTTTCCATAACATACGAGTAAGATCAAAACGCGTGATCGTAAAAACTGTCAGTCAGAATGTTTTTCTTTATTCTTTTCACATATATAATATATATATATATACATCCGAATCTCAACGAGTGAAATTATACTCAAAACGTGAAATAAAACATCTATAAAGAAATAATTTTTTGGCCCGCAACAACGCATATATTGAAAAAATAGAAATTTCGAACTCAAAACAGTATACTGAGTATCAAATGTAAGAGAAAAGCTATAGCAGCGAAAAGAGCTGCGACATCATATAATCTGTGCAAAGAAGAAGAAGAGCTTAGATTCAAACAGATGGCATTTCTCTTCTCACGGCAAACACAATGACTACGCGTCACCACTCCTTTTTTGGAAATTCCGGCACTACTGAAAGGAAAATAAACTTTAGCTATATACTACTAGATGGAATAACCTCGTTTTCTCACGTGTACTATGACATGAGAGTCGATGCAATCGTTGATCACACCGACAGAGTCGGCATTTTGTTGAAGTGATTCTGTACCAAGCTATCATTCTCTTTGCCGAAAGCTTCAAAAATCCGCCTGAATTAAATAAAGTTATTTTCAAATTGAACTTGCGCTAGCTCACCGTTTGAGTTCCTTCTTCGGAACACTCGGACAGAAGGTTTGTGTTCTTTGACAGGGGAACGTGGACGAGAAGACAAGCGAGATGCTGAATCCGTGAGAATATTAAAGAATGAGGACAACTACTCTTACGTGCAACAGAAGAGTGGACGCTTCGATGATTGAACTCTGCGGCTGTTTTATCAACCACGTCTTCATCAAACCTATTCCAACGAGGTCGGGAAAGAAGCCGAGGACGTTCTTCCCTAGACCTAGATGAAAACATGGATGATGTCATAACACTCCGCGATCGAGTACTCATTAAACATCTTAAAAGAAGAATAAGTAATCAGAAGAATAATATAACTTTACCTGGAATCAAACACCCTGGTTCGCAAGGGAGTGCGCTGTCTGCTCCTTTCTAGTAAAGATTTGGCCTCTTTGCTCACACAAACGTATGGTTCACAAAGTTGTTCTACAGAACCGCAGACAGGCGCTGAAGCCGAAGTTAAATCCTTCCGTAATCGGCCACCACTTGATACACTACAATACATGTTTCCAAAACACACTAGCAGAATAGATAAATTACCTAGCTGAACAACTGCGAGTCATCAATGCGGGTATCCTTGTTGATCTAGGAGTTCTATCGACAGATGATGACATTACCATTGATACAGATGGGGAACATGGTAAGGGTGACGATGTTCTGAAAGACGACGTAGTATGATGTTGAATGTTATGAAAACTCACTGTTTGAAGGAAGAAAAATCAAAAGATTGATCAATATTATAAATATGACCATATCGAGGTGTTATGATATCAATCCACAGATCTTCATCTATTAATGATGATGTCATCGAACGTGCTCCCTAAAAACGTGTAACTGTAAATGAACGAATGTAATGACGATAAACTACTTTGCTAGAATAATCTGCGCAAATTCCTTCAGAAGATTCTGAAGACGTGGATGAAGCAGAGGTAAACTTTGGACACTCATTCATCTATAATAGTATCTCTATCAAGAGCGCCGTATTTTTTTCATTACCTGTATAGCTTTTCTTATGGATTCAATAGGGTCAGTAACTGGTTGAGTTTCATGAAATTTATATTGGAGAGGAAATGGAATATGTATGAGAAAAGGTGTAGAAAGATTTGATTCTTTCTTTACACGAGACCTCTTGCTTTTGGATACATAGAGGCATGTGTTTTGGGAAGCGCGTTGCGGGCGTCGCCGTTTTTTGAGCGAGATCTGTAATTGAGTTCTCGGTACAAGAAACAAAAAAAATTGAATTCACCTAGAATCAACGGATGGGGAACGAAGTCGAGAAAAATGACTAGGACTACTCTTAGAAGCATCAATAACAACATTACTCTCTAAAATAGGTGTGGCTCCCAAAGCCTGCAATTCGATTTTTAGAAAATAAGCAAATGAATAACCCACGTTAGATGAATCTTCATAGTAATCCATAACGTTCGGATATAATCTCTCTAAGCTAGAGAACACTAAAACGTTTTCGCCACAAAAACGAATAATATCTTCATTCAACTTTGGTTCTACTGGATGGTTACCTTCAAATTGGAAATGTAAACAGAACTTCTAAAGAAAAATCTCCTACTGTTTATGAAAGGCCGTCTTTGGCCAGACATTTGCTCACGAGCTTGCTCAACCATCAACTTTTCATAAGAAGACATAGGCCGCCGAAGCCCCGGTATAGAAACCTGAAATGGATGAGAATCTTCTATTCCTTTAAAGTGAATCTCACCGGTCTTCTGTCTAAATAATCGTCTTTCGATACTGAAGAGCTAGAAGTATTGCTTCCTACTCCAGAATCGTTACCAGTTGAGCGGGTAAATACTCCTTGACCATCGACTGAAACATTGCAATGAGCGAGAGATGAGAGAAGAAAAATTAATAACTTCGCACAATAAGCACGAACTTTGGAACGCGAAAGAATATTTACACACATACATACACACCAAAATATGCTTTAATATGAACTTTCGCACATGCAATGTTAACTCAGCCGGCTTATTTGATCAATAATCTTCACTCACCAACTAGAATATTTCCCTTAGCATCCGAAGTTGAGGGTCTTGAAGTACCGGAAAGAGGGCGGGCTCCAGGCAAATTCCAGATGGAGTCTTCCTCTGACCAAACTGCTAACTCCTTAACACGCTGCCTCACGTCGTTTGGAACGAAGTTGTCAACAATCAAAAGTCTAAATGGAAGGAAATATGAGAAAGAATTGCAAGAAAACACGCAAGAAGCCAAAAACACAGATAAATAAGCGAACATTTGTTTTGGGAGTAGAGTTGAAGAAGAGTCGCTTACGCATCATTCATCAATGAAAGTCAAGCAAGAAGACAATAATCGAAACAGCGGAAGCACATATGTGGAAGAGAAAAAGAAAGGCGCATTTAATGCAGATGTCTTGTCTGAGATATTAGTATAGAAAGAGATGTCAAAGATGTGGTTCGTGATAATATAATGATTGTATGCAGTTTCATCTGATAAGACCAAAAGATATTCTGGAAGGTCTTTCTACCAGCCTCAGCATGAGGTACTGAGTGAAAGAAAGAGATGACGAAAAAAAGTGATAACAAAATATATAATAGGGAACCTATTGTAGGGCTGCAATATGGTCGAATAATAAGCGTTGTAAGGGATATGTGTATTTGCTATGATTTAAACGAAAGAGAAACGCAAAAGAGAACTCAAGCAATCATGAAAACGCGCACATTATGCTAAGTAATTTGATATTCAAGAAGAGAAGACCGAAGGATGGACAAGTGCAAGACCGGAATGAAAGACAGAAATAGGAAATAAGAGATACAACTGTATAAATAATTTTAGCAAAACGCTCAAGAGATGAATAGAGAATAATCAATAAAATTACAAGTATTTCGCAAGAAAATAGGACAACCATAATGAATGCGGGATTTTGAATAAAGTACTCATAGAAGACTCACTTTAATTTTAATTCTTTGTTAATTTCGGAAACATCACGCTCTAGTTCTTGTCTTTCTTGAGAATGAGCAATGGCAGTGTCGTGAATTTCATTACGCAACTGAACAGCAATAAGAGTATCAAGCGAATTTGAAAAATTCTTAGCAAACATACTTTTCGCAACTTCAACTTAAATTTGTTCAACTTTTTAGTCTTTGCATCAACTTCTTGTTGAAGATTTGTAAAAGTTTGGTGAATTTCGGCTGTTCCTTCATCTTGCTGCTCTAAGATCTCGAGAATCTCCCGCTCTTTTCTCTTCAAATCGTTAGTTGAAAAAAAGATAACTCTTAATCAAAAACCTTTTGATCCGCCAACTCTTTTCTTTGATGTTCTAATAGTGATTCTTGTTCTCGTGTGTGATCAAGTAAGTTTGTGCCACCAAGAAGTTTGCTCTCCATCGCTTTGATTTTCTCTGACATTTTGGCTTGGGAATCTTTTTCGGCATTGAGTTCTCTCGATCTTTTATCCAGGGCCTCCAAAATCCGCTTTCTTTCCTGGAATACGAGAAAACGTAAGTTTTGTTATTAGAACCAGAATTAGCACAGCCGGAAGCTGAAGCGCAAATTCCAAAATGAGTTTGCCCAATGTGGCGTTTATGCTAATTAAATAAATTTGTGGTTTGGGAAGTTAAACAGGAATGTAAAAAACTGCTTTGATTATTAAATATGGAAATAAGTAACCTCCTTAACAATGGAATCGTCAGAAAGAATTTTTCGTTTATCTGCTTCGAGGTTCCTATGCTGTTCATTATAGTATTCGTCACCACGAGCACCGTCCGTTCCTAGAAGAATTGAAAACTGTCCGACACTTGCAATGAATTACCTTTAGTGCCTTTCTTGGCTGTGAGCATTGCTCTTAGTCTATTAATTTCATCTTGGAATTCTCTTAGTAATGCATCTTTAGGATCTTCATTGATTCTTGGTTTGTTCTTGATATTCTTAGCTCTGTTAGCATATCGTAAAGTTCCTGGACAACAAAAGCAGATGAGTCATATGTTAGTTGAAACTGACCTAATGTTTCTTCGTAGTTGTATGATGCAGGTCCGATGCAAGCAACCATCACCGTTTTAGAGTTACCCCCCAATGAGTCTTAACATTTAGGTATATTTGAACCGTTTTAAAATGAAACCTTGTAAGAGTCTTGTAAGTTTACTATCACGATACGGAATATGCGAACTCTTGCCATCAACTAAGGAAGAGATTACGTTTCCCAGGGCAGAAAGGGATAGATTAATCTTAGTCGCTTCTTTGAATCTCTCTCCTGATGCTCCTGTCTTAGCTTGTCTTTCACTACCTGCGAGATCAACAAGATTCAGACGTCCCACTCTTCAAAAAGATATTATGAAAAAGAGAAAAACAACAGTCAGAACCTTATATGGTTTTCTCCATCAATGCCAACCTCACAACATTCAATGGTGACCATAAAAATAGCGTGAGATCTACTCGAGTGCTCATTCATATTTGTTCGACTGGAAAACTCTTTTGTACAAAAAATCCAATATTAAAAGCATATTTTACCCAACAGAACGATTTGCATTTCCAACAAGCATCACACTTTTCAACTCTTCCACTGATTTGGTGACTGACGATGATAGATCTTTCACATAAACTCCAACCTAGGTTGTTTTTATTACTAAATTACATGGTAAAGCTCAAATTACATCAGGGCGTTCTTTCAACTCCAATTTTTTGCCGTCTTTATCCAGCAAATCCCGTATTTCTTCCTGAAGTAAGAGGAAAATTGAAATAAGGAAAAGTTTGCAAGAGCTTACTTGATAAATCTCTAAATAACTGGCCCGTACTAAGTACTTCTGATTTCTAGACTGGGATATATGTTGAAAAATATGATCAAAACAGTTATATATCACTCCTCGTTCATCCTGAATACTAGCTTTTCCTGTAACGAGTAGTTTATGACAACTTGTCACTCAAAAACAAAGAAATACCTTCCATGGTATAAGTTTTACCAGTTCCAGTTTGACCGTAAGCAAATATTGTCCCATTAAATCCATTCAAAACTGAGTCTACTAAATCGCGGAAAGTTTCATCATAGAGATCTTTTTGCTTGGAGCTTAATGAGTTTATGATTGAGATATGATTCCCGCATAGAGTTACCTTGCTCCATATATGGCATCAAATGTAAAATCTTTGCTAAGTTCATCAGGTTGTGAGGGATTCTTTAGCTCGATCAAGCCCCTTTCAGGATAAAGGCTAACAATGCTGAAAGTAACAAATTTAGTATACTCGAGATAAAATCTTTCGACATGTGTTACCTGCTATGACCTTGCGATATTTCCGTTGTACTTAAGGGACGACATCTCACTATGACACGAACAGTTTCCTGTCGGTTAGATGTCTTAGACTTAGGTCTGACATCATGAGCTGTCATGATGCTAATGTATTAGTTTAGTAATTACTTGTAATTATTGAAAGCCTTGGGCTACACTCTGAAAATAGATAGTAGTATAGAAGATTTCGAACGAAGGACGTAATCTTAGATAGCAACGGTTGCTTGGTAGGGGAGCGCCAGAATGACGTTCAATCGCAAAAAGAGGATGCGAACATTTAAAAGAACCTACCTGTATCTCAAAAATATCATATTCTAAAGGATAAATTCATCTTCTGCAGCAACACTTGTAGAACACACTTTTTGTCAATGGCAACTGCTATGAATTCCTGAAAAAAACAAGGAAGATAACAGAGTTTCTATCTTTTCACTTTTTTCTCTATTTTAAATGTAAGCAATGCTCAAAACATGTTAAGATCAAAGATGTTTTTTTCAATCATCTTTAAACACAAAAAGAGTAAGATAGAAAAGAATTAAAATTAATTTTTCTTAATATGTGGTCCAATAAAGAAAGCGTGCCATGGGGGTAAATACACATAGCATTGGCAGCAGGCGCCGAAAATCGATATATCTTAGCATTAAAGACCTCGCCACTGGGGTCAATATGAAAGGGAGAAAATTCTTTCATATTGAGTTTACCCATATTAACTATGAGAAAGAAAGTATTTGTTATTCACATTTTTCAGCCGAACAGTTTATGGGAATCATTTGGAACACGAAAAAGGCAACATTTCAGCTGTTACAAGAACGCCTCTCGATTACGTTTTACTTTTTATGAATTTCGAAAGTGAAATTGATTGTAGCGCAGCGTTGACGAAATGAGTAATGATGATATGTGAGCCGAAAGAGTTTTTTTTTCTTTCATTTTTAGTTAGGTAGACGCATAGAGCGGTTGCATTTGAATTGACGGAGGCAATTGCTTCCCATTCGACTGATAGGCAAATAACGATGTTTCGTATCTCTTCTTTTCTCATTGCTTGCTATAAAAAATGATTTAATTCTTTTATTCGTTCAATATTTTTGGCTTTTTTTCAACAATGCAAACAACATATTTAATTTAATCCATATTAGTATACATATATACATACACACATAAGTACTTTTATAAGGGTTTCGTTATCTCTTTCGTGAGGTTTTCTTCTTCTTCGGGAATTTCTGGCGAGAAGGCTACGCCTTTTCTTGAATCCTGTCTAGCAGAGCAAATTGTTGTCATTTGATAGGAGGAGTTTTCAGATTCTAGGAAATAGACTGTGAACAAGGAAAGTAAATTAAAGCAAAAGAATGGCATTCAAAACTCAAGAAAGCACATGAAGCAAAATAAACGAAAACAAAACAGAATTAAATTAAGAGAAAAAGGATTGTGTATAAAGCTTTCTGTTTGGCAAGGATGTTGAAGAACAAGCTTATCATGTTAAAACTTAGGAATAACTATACATTTATACATACAGACGTGTATGCATGTACATTGATACGAACTGAAAATATGGACAAAAGTAAACTTAAATTCACACAAAATCCACTGATTTTCCTATCACTTTAGCACACTCACCAAGTCTGTAACTGAGAAGAGGGAATGTGCTCTCCTTATAACGAATATTTGCTCCAATTGAATGAATTCGATTGGTTGAATTGAAAGCTCGTAATTCCTCATCCGTAGCTAAGAACCGCCATCCCAATTTTCGTCGTAATGATACCCGGAACCTCCTATACAGCAAATTATAGTTTTACTAAGAAAATTCAATTTGTAGTTGCTAACCGTGACATGAGCATATATACTGCAAAAGATATTGGATGAACTGTCATCATTATAATGTTAGTAAAAGCTCTCAGATAGGCATCATATACTATTTCAAGAGCTGGAATTTCAAAGAAATCCGCTATTTTCATTACAAGAATTAGGATGGTTGAAGGCAGACTGCAAATCAGGACAATAAAAAATCATTTTTTGTTCTTTTTCTTCTTATTATTTTACTTATAATAATCAGTACTTACCGGCCGACTAGGAAAAGCACAATGATGACGGTCAGCATAACGGTTGTCTTACGCGAAGCACTTGTTATCTTTTTGTGTCGATTGATGGTGGAAATATTCTTGTTGGATTTTGAACTACAAATATAATTAATATAGTTAATCAAGCATACATCTTCAATGCTTCTTACACTATGAACGTTTTATCCGTTGCCCTAACAGTTCGAATTAGTAAAAATGTGATGACCAATAAGAAAATAGAAGGTACAAGTGTTATGCAAATGCGGAAAACATCAAAAATCTATAATTAAGCATATAGATCATCGAGTATAATGATGTTTAAGTTAAAAAAAAGTGAAAAAACTTACTGTAGAAAGAACTCCAGCACCCAAAGATCTTGTGACATCAGAATAGCCAACGAAGCATCTTGCAACCCATAACGATTGTGGACCATTCTATAATAATGTTAATACAGTAAGTATTTAGAACAATTATGAAGAACATACAGTTATGCAGAAATGGTATATGACCCGAATATCAAACATGTAGTGTACAAGAGTGATTATACATGAAACAAATAATATAATTTTCGAATAAAAACGGATTTGTCGTCGAGCACACCAACGGAATGAATCCAGAGGATATTGAATGGCAATGAATCTTAACATATAAAGAATTAAATATTAATCTTATTATAATTATGATTACCTTTGAATACCTAGAAGCATTGTGAAAAATGTGATAAGTGTATTGAAAAAGAATGGAAATGTTTCCATACATAGCTTTTGTAAGTAACATAAATGTAAAGTTTGATTTAAGTCAGCCAAATGTCCCAAATTATAATAATATATAGTAAATGGTAATGGAGCTATTGCCATAAATAGAGCACTTATTGCCATAAATAGTAAAGGTTCGACAGATGCTCGTTTCTGAAATTAGCATATTAAGGAATGCGTAGGCAATTGTACTATCTATATACTATATGTCCTTTACACCTTTTTTCATCATCATCATCATGATCATGAACATGAAGTTATGAATGACGTTTGCTATTCAACTACAATTCATTATGTTATAGTTGTTTGATTACTATTATGATTATATAATCAAAACAGAGAAGTCTCACATGTATATTAATATACATTAATCTATATATATATAGTTAAGACTTATGTATATCTCCTATATACATAACTATATGCATATTTATGTTTTTTTTGTATTATTGTAATGTTTCTAATACACAATATATAGAAACAGACACAAAAAAATATTATGTTAATGCACTTCGTATGCTAATTCGACGGGAAGCAACAGATTTCAAGCAAAACAATGAAATTGACGTGGAAGGCACGTGAACTATTTCTTCATTTTAATTGTTTGCTGCTCAAAATTACAAACGGTTGTCTATGTATCAATAAGAAAAAAAAAACTTCTCAATTATCTTACACTTTTCTGTTCTTTCAGCACATAAATGACCAATCCATGTGATAGCAATACTATGAGAGAGAGAAGTAGAAGCACATACCCGTAGATGGCATACATGGCCGGTTCATTTTCCTTCAATTAGAAAGATGAGTTATGTACATGCTGCTATTATTATTATTATTATTATTGTTAATTGATTTTTTTTAGTTAAAATAGAAAGGAAGTGAGAGAGAGAGATAGTGTGTGTATGGAAGAGATGTCTCTAAGAAAGAAGATTATGTTTGGCTAGAAGTACCTGATCTGCAAATTGGATTAGTGAAGCTGGAACACAACTTCCCAAGTAATGATCGTATACCGTAAATGGAGGACATGTTATATTCATCTGAAATCATATATTTGAGGTTTCTTTATTTTTCAACTTTTTTTTTCTTCCTCCTTGCTCAGCTTCATTTTTTGATTCTCTCACTAAAGGTATTCGTAATAGATTAACCTTATATGAATACTTAAGGTAGATGGTTTGAAAGAGAATGCGGAAGAGAATGAGAGATTAAGATATTAAACACGTACGTAATATTCGTTGAAAGAAATAAGTTGGCAAATTTGGAAAAAAAAACATTCAAAAAACAAAAAATGATTTGAAAATACGAAGAAGATTATAGAAAAGTCAGTAAAGCTTACCAAATGAGCACCACCATAAACCTTAAAAGAACAAAATTGATAGTATTGTGAATGAAAAAAAGTAATATTACCTCTGTTGGATCACATCTTTCTACATCTGCCGTAGACATTCCTATGGTATGAATAAGATGAGTTTAAGGCTGAAGACGAGAAAAATTAATTGACCTATTATGAAATAATTATTTATAATAACTCATTGAGCAAGTAGATTAAAGATGAAAAAGCAATAAAATAAAATAATTATTAATGAAAACCAATCTACATACACATCCACCCACATCAGATCATATTGGATGATGATCTATTCATAATCACTTACACCTTACTACCCCGCTCAATCAGCTTCACACATACAAACCTACACATACAAATTCACACACACACACACATATACAGACACAGACATACACTTCTTACACCCAGCCACATATAGCCACACATATGATAATAGAAAAAATTGATGAGTTTCAAACATTTATGAATAGATAATTACTTAAGAAAAATAGGCGGGCAAATTGCTTCTACTAGCTACAGAAGATAAGAAATGCGTGGTAACGATAGTGAAAGCAAGACGAATGGAAAGAAAGGAAAGAAAAATTTTTTTTTAAAAATTTTGTGGGAGTTTGGCTGACAGTTCACCTAAAAAACATGTTGACGAACGGATAAAAAGTGTGAGAAGAAGAAGCACAGTATTCTAATAAGATGGAACAAAAAAAAATAATTTTTCAACGTTATGCTTGAAGATATCAGAATGCAAGTGTGAATTAAAGAGAGAGCAAGAGATGGATAGTTAGAGGAAGAGAGAGTTGATGAATGGAATGAAAGGGTAAACGATATGAGAGAGAGAGATAGAAGGAGGAGAACCGAAAAAACTATCGTTTGAATGTTGAATATAAGACAATTTTTCATGTATTATTCAGATTTGTTCTTTCATGGAGTGAAGCTTTAATGACTTTCAGAATGCCTTCTGAACACAGTGAACTTCCATATAAAGAAAAAATATTTCCTAATGAAACAGAGACCTCTTCCCATCTGATTTGTTTCAAAAATAAGTTCAAAGATGGAGAAGTAGAAGAGTTGAAGCTGAAGCGAGATAGAGGGAAAGAGAGAGAGAGAGATAAAGAGGGAGAAAGAGAGAGAGGGAGAGTCAAAATAGAACAAACGATGATTCTATTTTTCTCTTCACACTCACTCCTCTTCAAATTCATCTGAAGGGGTGATTTTTAGAAGAAAACTGAGAGGAAAAAAATATTAAAATTCTCGAGATAGACAGGAAATTTGAGGAGAGAAAGGAGGAAATAAAATAATGAAAGACCTCTGATTAGGATGATATGAACCTTCCACATATATTCCCAGAAAAAAAGATATATTTTTCCGCCTTTTTATGGATAATAATAATAAAGAAACAAAAAGAAGGCTGAAAATCTTTGATTTCAATCAGAAGGAAACCTATAGAAGAAACATAAAAGGAACAATTCCTTTTTAACTTTGTCGAAATTCGAGAAAGCCCATGAAAATTGATCTTTTATTCGAAGATTTTTTCCCTCCTTTTTTTTCTTTTCTCTCTATTCCTTCTCTTTCTCTCTTCTTCATTCTCTTCTACATCATTCTCTTCTTTCCTTTTTTTTCTTAGCTTTGAAAATCAGATCGATGAGCATTTTCATTGGGATGTGTCAAAAACAGATAGCATCGGCTGGAACGTATCCATCTGAATGAAAGTCAGGAAGTAATTATAAACGAAATTGATAGTGAATGAAACTTGAATAAAATAACCGTTTATGACTAATTATGTATCGGAATTATGGATGAAATACAAAATTAATGAGCACAATTCGCTTCGTTCACATGGTTCAGTCGGACAAATGTTATGAGCGAACGGACAAAGTTAAAACTTATTTGTTAAACATCTGCTCTTAAAGGAAATTGGGAATAAGATAAAGATTCGGAAGGCGAGAAAAAAGTCTTCTTATACATATGAGAATTATTAATAAATATCCTTAACTTGCTCTTTCTCCCTCCCCCTTTCTCTCTCTCCGTACCTCAGTCTATTTCTGCCTCTCTCTGATGATCTTCTGATTAGTGTGATAGGATCTGATACAAACGTGATAAGGAGAAAGGATGAGATAATAGAGAAAAAAAATAGAAGTCAATGGTGTTTCGCCTTTTTGTTCTTCTGCGATGTTTATTTAAAGAATATTTTGGAAGTACTGCTTGTTGTCTAGATGTAAGACCTACTGGGACTTTTTGTTCTCTCATCTTGCTTCTCCCACCCACAATCACTTTACTTTCTCTAACCTCTCATCACTATTTTAATTCTCAATGCTTCTTTTCTACTTCTTCTACTTTTTCTTCTCTTTTTGTACCTACATTCCTCTCATCCCCTTTCTTTCTCTCTTTTTGTACCTTGAGTCTTCCCCCCCCCCCTCAGCTACCCCCCACTACCCTTATACTCCATCTCACTCCCACCTACTTTCGTTCATTTCCTTTCTTTAATTCAGTATAACATCATGCGATATCATCATCGACGTAAATCCGTGTTTCAGAGCATCTCTTCCGCCTATCACAAGTGTTATTCCTTTTTCAGAATAATTTTTTTCAGAGAAATTCTCAATGCGGTGTGCTCATCTTAACGACACGCGTTCACCGTCACGCTTCGATGCTGCTTTTTTTTTCACAATTAATTAAAAAGAAAAGAATAAAAATTGATCATTAAAAAAAAAGTTGAAATGAACATTTTTCAATAAAAACTATTCAAAAACAGTTGTACTAACAATCAAGACAATAAACTATTCAAACTTATGCATATACCATGACGTAGGCTCACCAAAATTTCTTTTCAAAAATGATGCGGAAGAGCTCAAGAAGAAGCCATGTGAAAACTTTTGTTCTTTGTCCATGAATCCAACTTATAAAATAGGTAAGACGAAGACCAAAATTGAATAGAGATTCATGGAAACAGCTTTGAATTGTTTTTTTTCATCGGACTTCTTGTAATCTTTGGTGAGAGCAGGAAAGTAATAGAGATGATGCAAGGAGGAACATTTAGGTAAAGCTCAGGGTTTCTCAAGTATTCTCACAGCCATTTCTATCTGTGCTGCTCAACGAGAGGAGAAGCAACATGAAAAAAAAAACGACGAAAAGAGATGTAAAAAAAATTTTTTAAACAAAAAGCAAAAAAAAAAGAAAAAAAAAAGGGAAAAAAACGAAAGTGAGAAGAAATGCAACAGAAACTCTCAATTGCCCATATTTAGCCAGAACATGTAGAACGAATTGAGTTTTATATTTTTCAGCTATCATCTCCATTCTCTTTCGCTCTCGTTCATTCTATTTCTCTCTTTCTCTCTTGTTACTTCTCTTTCTCTCTCTCTCTCTCCTTCCTTTTTTGTCTTAGAATTACTATTACTGTTATTATTATTAATTTGTTGTTGTGGATGTTATATGGTTATTAGTTTCTTTTCAATAAGTCAGTGAAGGTAATAACAAAAACACAACATTCATGTCAAACGCACACATACACAGACACACACACACTCACACACACACACACACACATACACACACACACACATACACAGTCACAAACACGCACACTAGCACCCAACCGCAAAATTGTAGAAGGTGACTCTCGTACTCTTTCTATCGCTCTTTCTTCTTTCACCTTTTCATTTCTCAGAAGTAAAAAAGTATATAATATGCACAAATACATAAATTATGCTAAATATGTAAGAAAGTAATTTAAAAACTTGCAGATGGTTCACGTATAGGCTAATAAGCTCACGTAAAAGTCTAGTCTCGCTATCATAAATGAAATCAACGCGTGAACTGAACGGTCGCATTCAATTTGAGAAAGAAAATGTTCTCTTCGATGACTACTAGAAGTAGGATGTGTTACTCATTCTTTTTCTTTTATGATAATTAAGAGATTTTCTGAGAAAGTAACTTGTAGTAGTGGGGGCAGGTTGAGGAAGCGAGCTGAAGAAAAGAAAAAGAAGGAAAAACAAAAAAAAACAATTTTTATAGAAGTTTGGCTGGGACTCAATAAACCACTTGAGCGTTAATCAAAGGATTCTTAACGATAGTACAACATCTAAATTAGACTTTCACAAGGATTTATCTAAAATTTGTGGACTTCAATTTGATTTCAAAATTCTGACGTGTGGAATTGAAGGAAAGAACGAATCGTTCATTTTCGAGCAAATTAAAAATAGAAAACTTTCAAGCAAGTACTAAGAGACAGTTGAGGGAGACGAAGACATAGAATCTTGAGAGGGGATAATTACAAATTAAAAAAAAAGAAAATAATCTTTTAACATTCATATAGTGTAAGTTCAACAACCAGTATTAAATGATTCATAAAAATATCTTTTACATTCTTTTTTATGTACAAAAATAGTTATTTGTCCGCTAATTTTGGACAAGGTATTATGATATTTGGAATTTGTCATCGATTTTTCTAAATTTAAACCGTTCACGAGATAGGATTTACACATGTATGTCTGTGTGTGTGTGTGTGTCCATGTGTGTGTGTGTGTGTGTGCGTGTATGTGTGTGCGTGTATTCCTCGTCATTACAGAAAGAAGAAGAATATCGGTGGCATTTAAAATAATCTTATGTTTGTAAAACGATGAAGAAGTAACTTAGCATGATTCGGAAATAGGAAGGTTATTCAAGACAAAAGACTCTTTGATTCAAGATTTAAACAACGTTTTTCTTCTTATTTTCTCTTCTTTCATCTATTTTGTGGTCAAAAATTATAAATATTTTGACGTTGTATTCTCGCAACCAAAAATATCTTGCAAGAAGTGAAATGCATTACAATGGCATTATTTCGAACTTTTATGTAAAAAAAATTATTAAAAATTCATTTCAAACATCTTTTGCGATGTGGACGAGCTTAATTCTGTGTTAATACATTGAAGATGTCAAAATGGATTTCTAATTAAACAAGAATACATTGAAAGAATGAAGAGAATCTCATTGAACAGTTCACCTCCCTAATTCTACATCCACAAATGGCAACTCATTCAGTTTATACCAGATCTGAACTTATCAGTATATTCAAAGAAAAGTTATATGAAACATACTCTCAACAGCTATGATTATTTTATATTTCTGGCACATTTCCTCTTCAAAGACACAATACAATGCCCAAGTCGTTTTGGAACAAAGAGACTAGCATAGCCTTATATAGCTTTCATTGCGATGTGAGAGACAACTACTATGAAGATGAGCAAGAGAAGCATAATGAATGTTTGTATTTGCTTATATTGAAAACTACCTTATCATACTGAATGATAAAACAAAAGAAAATTTATTTTTCATAAATCTACAATTTTGTTCATTTTTCATTTATTACTATGAACAACCGCTCTGCACTTTTGTGATCTTGCAAAATGAATTCTAAGACAAAGCTGACGGGTTCAATCTCGGCTGGAGCAATATGTACTGAGCCATCAACAAGCATTGTTCTCTCATTATCTTGCGAGAGAAAATGTAGATTTATGAAGAAAATAGATTTTTCCATATTTTTTTCAATATTTCATTGCATATTGTGATTGATTAATGAAACTGGATGAACTTGCTTGTTGCAATATGAGATTGAATTGATGAATTTCCTTTGATTACTTTTGAATTTCAGGTTTTTTCCGTGCAGCGACGTATTAACAACAGATTTATTGACGACGTGATCACAAGTACCTCGAGAATCTATGAGGATGAATAACGTTTTTGCTTTTTTTGATATCCAAAAATAAAAAATAATGAATTATATGTTGATTGAGGTTATGTCATCTGCTTCTTTCTCACTTCATTTAAGTCTTACTCGCGAGCTATGAAGCGCTTCTCGAACATATCTCCATAACGAGATAATGCTGCCAAGGTGTTCACGTTGTGCATGTTGTAACTTCTGAAATTCAAAAGACTTTAGAATGAATGTTCTGAAAAATTGATGAAAGGCAAATATGAGATGAGGGAAAAAAATTGAAAAATTTTACGTTTCGGCATGGAATTTTCAATTTTGCTTCACTACTTCTTGGAGCAGGGGAAGGAAGAAGTTATAAAAGTTTTAACTTACCGAAGAAATTCACGATTGTTCAAACCGCGTCCTCCTCTCTCATTCAATCCGAAAGGAAGTTGAGGAAATGAGGAAACAACCAGAAGAGTAGCCAAGATAAGAACGACTGTAGCCAAGAAACGCATGATGGAGAAGAACTGAAAGCAGACGAAGCTGTAGAGAATAGAAGTATGAGTATGAGGTGGTAGAAAAGAGGAGGAGAAACGGAAATACGAGATGACAACTATATTCAGGTGATGTTGACATTTTAGGAGCTACAGGATAATATGGGATGTCTTCACGTGATGCTGGAAATGTTCAAAAAACGAAGAATTTCATTCATTGCCCAAGTATTAAGAAGGATCATGGCAGAAAAGGAGGAGCTTCTATCCGATCTATGAGAAAACTGAGACGCACAAAAACTATTCAGGACTTAGATGACGAGCATATGTTTGAAGATAATTTCTATCATCGTCATCATCGAACGCGCATAGTATTCAATAAGGAAAAACAATTGATGTTAATCAAAATGTGAATGATCTGTGAGGACGTGGATCAGAGCTTACAATAAGTTGATATGAGGCACTCATTTAATTATAATATCTCTTGTTATTCCTAGAATTATTACTACGTATTGCCTCCATTTGAACTCCCAACTAAAAAAAAAGCTTAACAGATTTGGAGATCTTCCTCTCGCCACATCCTGACACTGATTGAAATATATCCCTCGAAGATATTCGAAACTGTCAAAAAAATGCTACCAGAAAAGGAAACGGATTGTAACACAAGCAGTGAGCTACTGAAAAAAAATGTGGGGAGAGAGGACAGAATGTGGCTTAGCACAGAAGTTTTAGAAGAATTGAGTATGAAAGCCTAAATATATGTGTATCGTCTTAGTGGGATGGTAAAAGATTATCGAAATAAGGATTATCAGTGATGATATCGAAGATGCATGAAGTTACAACTCTCACTTCTCTCTACTCCACTCTTTCTATCTCACTCTTTTTCGGACTCAACTTCTCATAAAATGAGTGAGAAGAGCAGTTCTGAAAAATTGAATGAAATAAAAGGGGAGGGACTTCACTTAGTATAGAAAATATACATTTAGTTTAAGAAATATTACTTTTTTCTACTTACAAACTATGAAACCGCAAATCTCAAACTACAAAATGATATGTTATCGAATCAAAAAAAGAAAAAAAATTTCGCAACTGTTTTTCTAGTTTGTATTTTGTCATTCTCATTCGATAGACGGTCCAGATTCGTAACTTTCAACAAGATTTTCTTCCAAAATTTGAAAATTCCAAATATGAAATTACTGTAAAAGCAGAAAAAAAATTGTAGAAAACAGACACACACACACATGTGTTCACGGACACGTACACATACACACACACACACACACACACACATGTAAACTGGATACTAGCAAAACATGTAAATGTAATTATATGAAAACGTTTTTTGGAAGACAAAGAGGAATCAAAGCTTAAACTCGACTTTAAGCTTATTTTGAGTACAGAAGTATTATAGAAAAATCCCAAAAACCAGTAAAGTTTCAATGATGTGAGGGTATTTCTGAGAAAAATAATAGTTTCCATATAAATAGCTTGTCCATGATATGTTAATTGGTGCAAATCTAGGTTCTTCTAAGGTGTACCTATACTTTTGTGAAGCAGAAAATGAAATCTTGATGATGTGGATGATATAATCAGATGAAGTCTATGTAGCTGAAGAAAGCAGATTTTATACTTCTGCATGCTATAGTAAAAATTCATATGAAACGGCATTATTTATAAAGGTTATGACCGCCCTGATTGTAGTGACTGCTCAAGTTTTCGTTTGGTTTTATGCATTTCGCACATAGCACTACCTAATTTGGATGAATTCATACGAGAATTTTTATTCAAATGCACGTAAAACGGAAGTAAAAAAAAATAATTTATTATAGCAATCTGAGGATTGTTGGAAATACTTGTATGACTTTAGGCCTTGAAGACTATGAGGTTCATCAATGATATGGAGAAGTACGAGTACAAAATACAAAATTAGCATATACAGACACGCAACCAAAAGAGGAGAAAGAAAGTAGGAAAAAATTTTTTTGGAAAGAACAAAAAAGAAAAAAAATGAAAATAAAACACAGAATGAGAAATGTACACAATCACAATCATTATAAGTGTAGACAAGATTCTGGAAACATTATGAAATGTAAGCTCTTTCTTTATAAGCAAAATTCTTTAAGTAAACGATTCTATAAATATTTAAAAATTGTCTTTTTTCACGTAAACTTAATAAATTATCTTACTTTGAATTCTGCTTTTAAAAATTTTTCTTCTGCATGAAAATATTTTTTAGTCAGCTTAATGGAGGCGACAGTTTCTGCAAGTTCTTTTCCATCATACACATGACAAACGGCCGTATTATTCCTGGAAAGAACACCTTTTTTTTTCTCTCCGTCTTATTCATTTCTCCCCCTCAACTATACTTTTCACTTTCACTCTTTCTTTATCTATTTCCCACTCATTTTCCAACTCTCTTCATATATCTTTCTATCTACTATACTCTTCCTGTATTTGGCTATGATGTTGAAAAGAGATCTTTCTTATACAGACTCAGACAAAAACAGTTCTTTCATTTGTGAAGATAAGTTTGACTGCAAAAAAACACATCACAATTTCAAATTCAACAGAATGATGGAAAAATAACAATTTCCGTAAAGGAGATGAGGAAAAAAAAAAGGAAATAGCTTGCTGTACTTTCATATAGTTACGTGGGTTTTACGTGAAATGAAAATGAACAAGCCAGTCAGCATTCTGTTTGTTTAGTAGACCGCTGACCGGTTGTGGTTCTTTTTTTCATTCGTGTTCCTTTCCCTCATACTCTTATTTAGTCAAGACTTGATAAGAATATCATTTTAATTAAAATATTTTAATGAATTGAACTAACGTGGAATTATGTTCGTAGAAGAAGGCTTCTTGTAGTGTTTCTACAACATCTTGTGCTCTGATACCCGTTTCTCGAGATATTTCTACAAAGAAAAGTCATAAATGAAATGTATTGGAACTAGGCCAAATCATACCGTAAGGAGTTACAATTCTTCCTTCCTTCATTATCGTATATGCAACAACAGCTATAGTTTCAAACCAATACGTTTTGTAAGCCATTCTCCCTAAAGGGGACAATGGCTTTTCAGGGCCTCCCGTCATTCGCATCATTCTTGTTATGAGGTAGCCTATATAGAATTAGAAATAAAAAATAAAAAAAGTGAATGAAGAAAACATACTAAAATCAATAAGAAATCGTCCAAGACCCATACGTTGAAAGCACGGAAATACACAGAAACATGACAGATTTTCATCGAAAGACTGTGAGCACTGAACAAAAAGAAAAAAATGAGTAAAACGGATGTTGTTAAGATATAAAAAATGTTTCTTACCCGTGAAAAATAACCCAAAATTTCGCATGAACCTTCAACTTCTCGAGTTAAAATATAAAAAATGAATTCATCCACATCAAAACAGACGACTTTATCTCTTATCCAAACGACCGTCATCATCGATAAATTACAGCAATATTCCTATAATGAGACCTTATTTGGTTATCGATTGATTTTGCTATATATGCATACCTTAGCGTGTTTACCGCTAACCTCGAATATTTTGATATTATTATAACGATCATGATAAATTTCTGTGCCAGGAGGTTTGAAACGATAAGCACATCGAGCCTGTAGAAGAAATGAATTGATCAATTAAATGAATATAAGATTCAGCAAACCATATGACGGACGCAACTTGATGGAGACATAAAATATTGGAAGCAACCATCGCATACATGAATTTCTTCTAATAATCCTATTTGAAGAGGGTAGAAGCTTCTGAAAAAATAGTCTTTCTTTCAGTCGCCCAACACATACGCAGGGGGAGTAAAATCAATAAACAAACCGATAAAGCGCCTGAATCTTATACTTCTGACCTAAGATAACCCAATTTATTTGACCAGTTGATGAGCATTTTGCATTCTTCTATAACAATATCATGAAACAACTCTTCTATTTTGATTTTATAAAGAAAAACCTGAAGAAGTTCGCGAGCCTTCTTGTACATGACAACGCTATCGCTCACGAGGAATCCTTCGCTTTTCTGTACTTCATCTTCAATATTTATGTCACATAATGCAGCACGGAACTGTTCCTAAACAAATGAAATATCACATAATGAATTTACTATCAATAATTACCTCGAAATACGTTAAATTTGGGCTTTCTGACTTCTTTCGGGGTTTGATGCGCGGGCGGCGTCGCATAGCGTGCCTGACTGCTGTGATGCAGAAGGGCTATGGGGAGGGGGGCAGCTGACCAGCACACAAGTAGAATAGGGGTTGGACCTAGGCCAGAAGGGTGACTGGCTGTGTATGCTGGTCCCTGACCAATGGCCAAGACTCTATAGGCCAAATGAGGTCTGATGTCGGCTTAGGTTTTCTGCGTTCCCCCTTCGTCTCATTCAGTCGTTCTGCTCTCTCACAACCCATGTTCTATAATGACACAGCAAAAAAGAGCGGAAGAGAGAGAGAGACCAATAGCAAGGTTTCTAGAGAGAATAAGAAGAGTTTATGTAGTAGGTTTGATAATCTATTGCGACCTAGAAGGTTGTTGAGTTAAAAGTATTTTATTTTTCGAGAGGTCATCTTTTTTCCTCAGTCTTTCTCTCTGTCTCTGCTCATAGCCCGTTTCATTGATTGCCGTCATCGTCACCGTGGTTGCCGTCGTTCATTTTTAGTTGTTGGCATTGAATTGAAGCAGATGGTTCCCAATTGAAATCCATAAAGTCATATGTCTTATTTTCTTCCTCAGTTTTTCCGTAGGACGATTGGAATATTACGGTCCTCGATTGAAACTCGCCAGCTGTTTTCTTTCCATAATTTTCCATGCCAATATATTCTGGAACAAACCAAAGATTGAAATAAAAATGTTTTCTTTTGTTTTCCTTGTTTTCCTTATCTCTCGTTGTCCACAAAACGTCGTTTTAAGAAATTTCTATTTACGATTTCCGCTCAATACCTGCTTACCTCTTAAACTCCAAGAAATTGTTGGCTACTTCCGGTCAATATTCTGTTTTCCTCTTCACTTTTTTGTATTTTTTCCCAGTATTACAACCCATTTATTGTTATAAAATCGTCTTTGTATCATTTTGTGAATAAATTTCTACCATTTCCAATGTTTTTCTTGAAAAAAATACGAATGAACCAAATACCTGCGATCGCAAATGTAGGGCGAAGTGTCAATGATTTTAAATTTTGGAGTAAAGCAAGAAAAAACTGAGACAATCTTTTCGAATGCCATAAAAGGAAAGTTTTTTTCTGTTGTGTAAAATGGGTGATAATACGGAATGTTTGAGGAACAGTATATGATAAACATACTAAAGGTTAGCAAGGAAGAAATCGTTTCGATCATCTTACTGTCTTTCATCTGAGGTATAGAACGCGAAAACCTTATAAACAAACAAACAAACAAACAGTTATAAGAAAGATGAAAAGGTAACGGAGCGATTCATGAAGTCTCCTTTCTCTTATAAAACTTGTGATGGTCAATGTCAATGGTTGAAAACTTGGTGAAAGATTATCGATTTTATTGCCAATGTTGACCCTGATGGGCGTCTTTGTGCTTGAACTGAACGGCATTCTCATTTTCGAACTTATCAAAGTAACCTTATTATATTTTGTTGAAATTACTTTGTAAGACGATAACTCAGAAATGTAATCGATTGATTGTAAGAATATCTTATCAAACATGTTAAGGACACGTTTCATTTAAAACTCACCGTGTTGCGCGAATGTCTTCGCTCATTTCTTCGTTGTCGTTTTACTAATATGGAAATTTATGAAATCTACACTTGTTCAATGAATGTCTCTTTCTTGTAGTCCGATTTTGTCCTTCTCCTAGTTTCTTCAACCAATTCATCACGTACTCTGCCAATCACCTTTCTTCTTTCTTCAAATTTTTCTCTTATTTTCAGGTAAAATGGCCTATAATGACATCGAATATTGGTATCCAGCGATATGTGCCATCACATATTACGTCAGCGTTTTCATCTTAGCAGAAATTTCTAGAAAAGTTAGACTAATATGGAATTATATCTTAAATCAAAATGCTTTAGATTGTTGATAAGTACTGCAGGACCAACAGTTCCGCCCAAGTTTTCTTCATCGAGCTTATTGGAACAGTTCAAGCATGTACTTGTGTTTATGAAAATGGTAAAGTGAATCATAACAGCCAATGTTTAGACTTTCTTTTCTAGGAATTATTGCCCAGATTTACGGTCTTTCCCCTGTTTTTGTAACAGTAGCAGTAATCCTCTTCTTCACCGGAAGAGTCGCCAGGGGAGCATGCATTTCTCCTTTAAGACCAATGGAGCTTGCTTTCAACAAAGTTATCGGGTGCGGAGATTCATTGTTGAATTCATAAACACTTTTTTTTAGTTACAAGCGATTGTTCGTTCTGTTATCAGCTGAGATCATTGGAGCTGCTATAGCTGCCCGTTTAGCCATGAATATTTGGTACTACTCTGCCGATTATGCTTCCGTTCACGCTGATGCTTTCATAAGTGTAAGCAACTGTCGTCTTCAATATAAAGTACGTTGGAGTTTTTCTCTAACAAATTGTTTTTACTTGCTCACTTCAGGCTGATTTCGCGATGGTTATCGCATTCGAACTTGTCGGAACTGCTCTTCTGAGAATTCTGGTAACCATGATTCCTCCACGCTACCAAGAAGTTGGTGTTCCAACTCTCATCTCTTCGTTCATCATCGCTGGTATTAAAAAACTTCACCAAAAATTTATAAAGTTTTTTGTTTTCAGCCATTCTCTTGGTAGGAGTTCCAGGGCTTAACCCCGTTGTTGCTTCTTCTCGCATGTTCGGCTGTCAAGGAATTGATCAAAATACATTCATTGCCGTTTATTGGGTGACAACTGCTTTATTATGATTCACTTATCAAACTATATTTAGATATGTCCTATTATGGGTTGGTTCGTAGGAGCTGAAATTCAGAAAAATCTTCTCCAGCAAGCTCCATTGAAGTTGAAAAAGAAGACAAAATAAAAATATTGTTGAAGATTGTATTAAACAGAAATAATTATCATAGATTATATTATGAATTTCTTTCAACTGTGATAAACAAGTATAAGCAATAAATTTTACAGTAGATGTTTCCTAATTTAGGTGCGTTTGGGGTACATTAAACGACCATTGCAATTTATGACGGTGGATGTGAAATACCGCCAGCTTTATGAATGATTTTAATACTATATTTATTATCTTTGCAAAATGACATTTTAAGGATTATAACTAAGATAACTAAGATACACTTCTACCTGAGAAGTTGCGAGGTGGATGGAGACCGAAGGTTCGTAAAAATATTTCTCTTCCCACCTTTTTCTTCCTTTAAGTTGGCGAGAATGAACTTCAACTCCGTAAACGTATTGTGGAGAATCATGTTAAGGTGAGTTCTGTTTTTATCCATTCATTTATAATTTTCATTTTTTAAGGAAAGACACAACTGTATTGTGTTAAAAATTGACAGAAGGCAAAACGGATTGTCTAACATCAATCCCTTCGCTTTCCATTTTGAGCTCGACAAAGTTAAGTATGAAGAACGAAAAAAGCAGTTGAAGCGCGAACGTTTGTGTGACTCAACTCTTCTCAACTACAAATTCATAATTAGGCATTACTCAATGGTTTTCTTGGATTGCAGTCTACCATCACAAATTCGGAATTCGGCATATCTTACTTGTGTTCATGCTTTTCCTCTACGTGATGCTGGGCGCAAGCATATTTTTAGCTATCGAACAGCCTAACGAAATCAAGGTGAGTGCCACTAAAAAGTTCAAATACTGTAGACCAAAAATATTTTTAAACCATGACGTTAGATTTAATGGTTTGTTTCCCTTCGTTATCTCGCTTACTGGAATAGTTACTTCTGGGTTTTGCAGGAATTAGCGATTACAGTGAATCTGATGGATTCAATTACTGAACAAGACGTTAACGCAGCTATAAATATATCTTTGTCTCTTAATGGAACTGATAGAGAAAACGCTATGACAGATCTATTCAAAGTTTTGTTACTGCTCCTTCAAAACTTACCCAAAACTTCCAGCTCTATTATCGAAGCCTCTTACAAGCAGAGGGGAAATTCCATGGTAGTACTTGGCATAAGGCAGAAAACATAGATTTGAGACGCACATGGTCTTTCTCTAGTTCAGCTTTTTATTGTATCACACTATTTTCAACCATCGGCTACGGTATAACGACTGTTTTCCTGAAATTTTATTCTTCACCATTAAGTTATTTTTAGGTACTTTGGCTTGTGATACAACTGCTGGACAAATAATTACTATCATTTATGCGAGTATCGGTCTTCCAATTATGCTTGTCGTTCTCGGTGATTTGGGTGAATGGTTTCAAAAAGTTCTCACGAAAGCATATATAATATGTTATTTGCGCACAAGGTTAGCGAAATAGACTACCGAAACTGTAAAATTCTAACTTAGAAAAGCATTTGGAAAAGAAGATCTTAATGAAGAGGTGATAGAAGATATATTTTTACCTATGTGGTTAGCCATTCCTCTTGTCGGACTGTACCTCTTTCTGACAACTTTTTTTATTCATCTATTCGATCATGATGAAGGGCAATTACCAGGTTCTACCCTAGTTAGCAAACTGAAATCATATTTTTTAAGGAATTGGCGTTTGGGATTCTTTCTACTTCACTTTTGTGAGTTTAACTACAATAGGGTTAGGAGACATCATGCCTTATAACATACAAGTGAGTGTTCTTCGGCTGGTAACTCAAATGATGAAAAAACTTTCAGTATTCTCCAATTCTCGCTTGTGTTTTTCTTTTGGGCTTGGCTCTTGTCAGTATCGTTAACACGAGTATATATGCTCAGCTTTACGATCTTTTCTTCAAAACAGTGAATTGGGTTGAAGAAGCGTTAGAAAAAATTCATAGACAGAAACATCATGGAACTGGCTATTATGTCTTTCAAGTACATTGATAAAACAAGTGCAACTGATTAGAATTGAATATAGGATATGGGACCCTGCATTCAACTCCTTGTCTGTTCATTCCCTCATATTGATGATGAGGAAGAAAAGGTCGGATCCCCAATCCAAGCAATATTTGCTCCTTTCGACATGTTCTTGAAGCACCAGAAACCTAAGAAAACACTGGTGAGCTCGTTCTGATATATTATGCAAAGTATTAACTCTATAGGTTCCTCATATATTCCAAAAGAAAAAGAAGAGAGCAGAGGAAGGCAAAGATCAAGTAAGAAAAACACGAGCTCCAACTCTGGGTGCTTTCGGAGGTGGTGAGATATCTACAGGGTTTGTAAATATTCTATATGATGATAGCGAGTCTTTCTTATTTCAGTAAACATCAGAGAATTACCCGTCATGCTTCTGATTTAACGTCCCCAAAAGCAGGCAAGAAGACGAGAACGTTCTCAGCACTTGATTCCAAAGAAAGAGCGTTAGGGTCACCCACAGAGAATACTGTATCTCATTTGTTAAAACTAGCTATCAAAGCTCCTACCGTGATAGTAGTTGATGAAACCGTCAGTCATAATATGGAGAAAACCCTATCATCAACTACAAGTAGCCCCACTTCATCAAAAAACGATAGTTCAATAGCAAAGCTAGTTGAACTAACAATGGCTTCCCCAGTCGTGAAAGTGCACGAAGAAAATGAACCAGAATTTCCCTTGTCCTCACAGTTAGAAACTGAAAGCACCGATTCTTTTGACGACGAGGATACTTTTGAAAACAATCCACCACCGTCATTATAATCAGTTATGATTCACTATTCTTTGCCTAACGACAGTCTGGACCCCATTATATTTAGCCAAACTAAAAAAAAACGAGCTAAATTACTAGAAATGTGTCATGACCTCATTGATTTCACAAGTTCATTACTTATTCATCTATTTGTATATAAAAGTGTCAAATCTTATCTCATTTTTCATCATCTTAATCCTCATCAAGTCCTCTTGAAGTGCCTTACGATATCGGCGAGATTTAATCAAAAAGTTTTGTGAGAATAGACATACCTGATCAGAACATCCATTTCTTTTATGACTAAATGCAACCGCTAATCTTTCTCATTGTTGTTGTAAATAAATTAATTGAACATCATCTCCTCCATTAAATTTCCACATCGGTTGGCGTGGGAGTCAACGTGGCAGACTTCAAACCTTAATCAACTTGAAATCCATAAATCATCATTCTTCATGATATTATAGCATAAAACTATCTTTATAGGTCTTATACAGGAAAAAAGCATAAATGATTCACAGATTAACTCTTTATCTTTCGTTTATCAGCATTAACATCGAAAGGTTCGTACACTATCTACGAAAAATGGTTTTTACATGGTTGAGCAATTTGTTAAGCTTTTATGAAACTAAACTCCCACCTTATGACTCCAATACCTTTCTAGTCTCTTTTTCGGAAGACCGTTGATATTCTTCAACGTTATTGCTTTCATCCCAAAATTCTATTTAATTGTTTAGTTGAAACTTGATAATGCTCTTGTTTGTTAAAGCCGCTTATATGATTATTCGCAATTTATATTTCATCGAATGACACATTTGAACTGAGAATTGCAAACAGACGCGACAATTCTTAGATTTCCTAAAAATACGAACAGCTCTAAAAAGCCTTTTCTTCTTGTAATATCGTAGGTGTAGATTGTACTCAGATAAGACGCCTCCGCTGGGCTGAGACTATGTCTGAACAGCAGATGTGGTGTGATTTGCTGGAGAACCGACAACCTGACTATTCCACCTCAGTCCTTGTTCAGCGTAAGACCACATGCCATTGTCTCCAATTTTTTCCTCCAATTTTTCATCCTTTACTTCAACATGTTTGCTAAGGTTATACTCCGATTGTTTCGTTGTAGTTTCCGCTCGTATGGGGTGACAAAGTCCTCTCCCATCGTCAGTTCGTATATCAATGAAAGACAATTTTCTTCTTTCATATTTGAGTGAAATATTTGTCTGTGAAAAAAGTGAACGAAGCCAACGCTCCACGTAAAACTCTCGTCATTCTGTTTTTGAAAGGCGGCCAATGCGGTTGTGTTCTAATGTTCTGTTGTAAAAAGCATGAAATTCCCATGCTTCTATTTTATTTTTCATTTCTTGATTTTATTAGAGCTGCTCCTTTTTGTTTTTATTCACTTATTGCTATTTCTGAGCATTCTAGTATAATGTGTTATGAGTTTTCTCAAACATATTACTTCAACCAGCTTTCAAGGAATAAATGAGTAACACTATCTTCTAAATTGGCGCTGCACTCCGTTTACACAACTTTTTTTTCATATTTTCATTTGATTTCTTCAATAATTCTTGAAATCAGAACGGTCCACTGTAATCGTGTCTCTGACTAACATATTTCGTGATCATTGTACTCTTCATTCTTTTCGCTCTTCTGATTTTATTGAATCTACTGCAGGCTTCTTCACAACATAAGTTATCAAAATGGCTCAAGCTGATATTGCTGTCATTGGTCTTGCCGTAATGGGTCAAAATTTAATTCTTAACATGAATGATAAGGGATTCACGGTTTGTTTTATTACCCAAGAGTTTACTTCATCGGAAATACTCTTTCAGGTTTGTGCTTTCAATAGAACTGTTGCGAAAGTTGATGAGTTTTTGGCCAATGAGGCCAAGGGAACTAAAATTATTGGAGCTCATTCAATTGCAGAAATGTGCAGGTTCGAAAAATATTGGGAACTATTAGAGAAAATTCCTATTATAGTTTGTTGAAGACGCCCAGACGTATTATGTTATTAGTAAAAGCTGGATCAGCTGTGGATGCCATGATTGACAGTATTGTTCCTCATTTGGAGGCCGGAGATATCATTATTGATGGTGGAAACTCCGAATACACCGACACCATGGTAACGACCTGTTACTAATACTTTCTTGCTAAACTTTCTATGCAGAAAAGAACAGAGTCACTCGGAGCTAAGGGTATTCTGTTTGTTGGCTGTGGAGTTTCTGGAGGAGAAGAAGGTTTTTTCCATTAGTTTCCTGTTTAATTCTGTTTCTGCTGCAGGTGCTCGTTATGGACCTTCTCTTATGCCTGGAGGAAACTCTAAAGCTTGGCCATTCTTGAAAGATATATTCCAACCTGTTGCTGCAGTTGCCGATAATCAACCATGCTGTGATTGGGTATGTCTATTACTAGAGTATTAGTTTTCATTAGAATTTGAACAGGTAGGAGAATCAGGCTCCGGACACTACGTCAAAATGGTTCATAACGGAATTGAATACGGAGATATGCAACTGATTGCTGAAGCCTATCACCTCATGTCTAAGGGTTTGGAATTAACTCACGACGAAATGTCTGATGTAAGGACATACATCTCTATTGGAATTCATTTACTATTATCTTAGATCTTCGATGAATGGAACAAGAGTGAATTAGATTCCTTCCTTATCGAAATCACCGCCAACATCTTGAGATACAAAGATGAAGATGGCAAACCATTGGTTCCGAAAATCCGTGATGCTGCAGGACAAAAGGGAACTGGAAAGTGGACTTGTTTCGCTGCTTTGGAGCATGGCATGCCAGTCACACTCATAGGTACAAAGCCAGTACTCTCGAAGCTAAACAGAAGTTGTTTTAGCCGAAGCTGTGTTCTGCCGGTGCCTCTCGGCCATCAAGGACCAACGTGTCGCTGCTGCGAAAATTCTCCCACGTCCTAAAGTTAACAATGCTGAAGTGATTGGAGACAAGAAGGCTTTTATCAATGATATTCGCGAAGTATTTCCTGTGAATTAGAATCCTTCTTTCAAATGCTATATTAGGCTTTGTACGCATCAAAGATTGTGAGCTATGCTCAGGGTTTCATGCTTCTTGCTGAAGCTAGCAAGCAATACAATTGGAAACTCAACTTCGGAGGAATTGCTCTTATGTGGAAAGGAGGATGTATCATTCGTTCCCGGTAAGCTTATCTTGCACTTGAGAATTGAATCTTTCTTTTCAGATTCCTTGGAAATATCAAGGCTGCTTTCGTAAAGAACCCCGAACTCACTAACCTTCTTCTTGATGATTTCTTCGTCAATGCTATTGCTAATGCACAAGATTCTTGGAGAAATGTTATTGCTACAGCTACTCGCTTAGGTATTCCAGTCCCAACCTTCTCTTCTGCATTAAACTTCTATGATGGTTATTCCACTGAGGTAATAATCGTTCTGATAATCATTCTTTTAAAAAATCACTCTCCTTAGGTACTACCCGCCAATCTTCTCCAAGCTCAACGTGATTACTTTGGAGCGCACACTTACGAGCTTTTGGATACTCCTGGAAAATGGGTAAGTTATTGATAGAATCTGATACCTTTTGAAAACAATTCTTTAGGTTCATACCAACTGGACCGGTAAGGGAGGAAGAGTTACAAGCAATGCCTATTCTGCATAATTGTATTGTTCCCAAAATTTATAATAATAACAGTTGTTTCTCTGGATGTGATAGGATTGTGATAAACAACAGTATTAGAATCGTTTGTAAGAATTTTTAATTTATAAATCATGATGTCAATAGCCTTCTGTTCTTACTTGATACTTAGATTTTTGCTGTCTTAGTTTCAAATGTAACTTGAACTGTTTTCGTCTAGGAGATCAAGTTTCCACGACTTAGATATGACATCATTATCTTATCAGTTTCCGACGAGTTTTTTGTTTTTTTAAATATCCACACTGCGCGGGAATGGCTTTAGGTTGAGATTCTTTTTATTTATTGCATGGACATTGGTGATGTGATTCGTTTCGGTTATGCTTGCAGAAGATGCACTGATGTTCCCATTTCTTTGCATGTGAATAGAACGTGAATAGTTTTCGTGTTTATTTCAACTTTCGGAGAAAACAAGCTGTTTTCTGAGTGTATAATTTACAGGAAATAATACAATACTCAAAGTTGAGACATGTCCGCTAAAGCAGCTGATCAAACTGATCATTAGTCCTCCTCAAAAAAATTAAGAAGTGATTATGTTTCAATAAAAAGCAAACAATCATATTTGCTATTAAAAAAAAGAACAAAATATAATAGAACATTGAATTGGCTCAAAAATTAAAGCATTCAGGAGAAAGTTCAATTCCTCATTAACGGTTACATCAACTAACCGCAAGTCATTTTCTTAGTCAAATTTGGGTTTTCAGTTCAGACATTTGGAACGGAAAGATCAGGAGAGCTGGCTATTCTTTTCAACTTAGCTTTCTGCTGATCGGTTATTCTCAGAGAGTATCCGAGTCGTCTTAGGTTATCAGGATTAAGCTCAGTAATATCTTGACGGAAGACTTTGTCGAGAATACTGGGCTTTTCCTTGTCTTCAGGTGCATCAAGTGTGTCCATCGTTTTTTCAGAAGCAGTATCATATTCGTTGCTGATTTTGTGAGTGTATCCAAACCTAAAAAATTTAATATGAATTGTAATAATGTTTAGTAAGTTTTCAGAACTTAATGTTTTTCACGCCAGCAGACATGATAAGTTGAATATATATATTTGGAAATGATAAAAAAACTGACTGATCATGTCCAACCATATGAATTACATGTTCGATCTCTTCGGCTACGGTTGAAACGTTTGTCATAACCTTCTTAGACCAACGTTTGGCTCTGCATGGTTTCTTGTCGTCATCAATTCCAAGTTCAGGAACGATTTCTGCAATATTCAGTTTTTTTATTGAAAAAAAAAACAATTTTTTTTTGATCATTAATTTCGAAAAAAAAACTGAAAGAAAAATATATTCCTTATGTATTGTTTTTGATTTCCGAATTATTATTACAATCTTCGTTCTAAAGGTCATTTCTCGTTCAGCAAAAATTGGCCAGATCATTCTCAACAGCAGATGCTTTGATATCAAAAAAAAGATGGAAATAGAGAGAGAATCTGTCAAACACAGCCAAAGATGACACCGTTACGAATTAAAATGACGCACGCTAGACGTGAATGATCAAAAACTTTCACGTGGATAGCACGTTGACTTTACGTGAAATTTCAATCAACCCCTTTTTTTTCTAAAACAAATATTTTTGAATCGAAAAAAAATTAAATTGTTGTTCCTTGAATTCGGTCTAGACGTTTTTTGATGATTTCATTCTTGTTTTTCATTTGTCTTTAACTTTTTGATATTTACCTTCAGTTGGATCTTCGATCTCATCAAGCTTCTCTTGGCATCGAAGCTTACGGTATAACTTGACCATAGGAGATAACTGGCCAGGTTTTCGTGGAAGAACAACAAAAAGCAAGAGTTGGAGGAAGGCAAGCATAGAGCCAATTCCATTGGGTGTCTGTAAAGTGTATTGTTAGAACTTGAATCATTACATTGAAGTAATTATAAACTTACGATAAGATAGAAATCTTTCTTGAGTAATCCGTAGAGGAACCATTCGGTGGAAACGAAGAAATTAGCGATACACAATGGTAACGGAAGAGTTGAAGTGGCCCCACGGCGAATAACAACTTTCTAAAGTAGCAAACTTTTAATCATCACTTTTGTTTTTTAAACGTTATTTTTCTTTAATAAAAAAATGATATCAACTTACAAGTCCTCCTAGAGGTGCAGCAAAATCTGCTGTGTTTAAGGTCATGCAAATAATGCCTAATGGGTGAAACACCTTAAAAGATCAGAAGTTTGATCTCTAAGAGTGAGCTGAGCAATACCTTCATTCCGAAGAAATGAACAGAAGCCATCAAGACTCCACAAGTCGAAACAACAGCCAGCACTTTGATTGTGATCCAAAGCTGAACAAATCATTGAAATGCAATTAAGCTTGAATCTAGTGATTACCTTGTTTTTGGTCATAAACCAATAAAATAATGTATAAGTTGAGTAAAGTATAACTTGACATCCCGTTACAACAAGTACAGTATCATCATTCTTTAAATACCCATATGTCATCCAACAACAACCACTGAAATTATGGTTTGATTACCAAAAATTTCATATTTTCGTTACGGACCCCAGAATTCCCATTAGAAAGGGTGCTCCGGAAATTTCGTCTGTATCCTTTCTCTTCCATATTTGACGACAAATTGGTCTGTAATAAGCTGGAATTATGAGACGAAGAAGACTGTGATTTTCTTACATTCCGCAAAAAAATAATCCTACAGTAGTAAAGAAAGCGATTGTGGATAAGCAGTTGAGGAAAGTGAAACCATGAGTGAAGACTTCTAACATTTTACTTCTTGGCTGCTTGTTCTCTGTAAGTGGCTCACACTTCCAAAAGCCTTTTGTTGAAGTAGAAGAAGAAGAGTGTTATACAGAAGATATGCCTGAAATGAACTGAGTTGACACAAAAGAAAGAATATAACAAAGAAAGTTTATAAGATAAGACAGATCATGAGAAGAGAAAGAGTTGTGGTATTTCCGTTCCTTAAGAACGACTTGGGAACAAACGAACCGAAGTCTGATTACGTCAAGTAGGAGGAGTTTCTTGAAGGCGACTGGGTGGGAGAAATACAGAAAGCAAACGTAGTAATATGACAACGTTTGGCAATTAAATAGAAATTCATTAAGGAGATAGGAAGATCCTTAACGAAGAATGACGACAGAATATGGATGCGAAAACTTTCGTTCTGACAATTACATCATTTGTTTAAGAAAAACGGATAATTCTTTTCTTCTTTTTTTTGTTATCATTTATAATGAAAAAGGAAGTTGTGAGCTTTTTCATAATCTGAAACTGTAAATTTGAAAAGATAGAGGAAGAAAGAGAGAGAGAGAGAGGAAGAGAGAGAGAGGGATAGAAGAACGGAGATGGTAGCCGAATCGCTAATAGTTGTAGAAACTGCAAATGTTACGAGGTAATTTCATCTCTCTCTCTCTCTCTCTATGTAGTTCAAAATGAGAATAACGACAACAGTTCTTCGAGGAGAATCATAGAGCATTTCTAATATTTGGGAAAAAAACCATTATATCTTAACTATCAATCAGACAACTAGTTATATAATTCTGATATCTGACTATCTGACAAAAGCAATTCGTGTCTCTCTCTCTCTTCCTCTTTTCATTCTCTCTATCTCTCTTATATTCTCTCTGAAAATCATTTACAGTTAAGGGCAATAACAATAAGGATCTAACTGTGAATGTAAATCACATACGATAATCATAAATTGATATTCACTTTCTTCATCATCGTTATCATCTTTATCGTTTTTGAAGATGAATGATCTTCCATTTTTTTCAGATTTCCAACATATTCTGTTTGTCGAGCTATACTATTTTTGCACAAAACTGTTAAGAAATGATTACACAAAAACTTGTGTTAAATATGATTTTTGATATGAAATTTGGAATGAGCAGCATGGTGTACTTGAGAATTTATGTAGGCAGAAAACAACAGGAAGGAAGATGACGGAGAAGCTGAAATGCATATTTTTCGTTGAGAGAGAAGAAAACAAAATAAGAAGAAGAAGAAGAAAAAAAAGTGATCCGAAACGGAAAATGAAATGTCATTGTTCGCGCTCATGCTGATCTTCTCATCTTTTTACGTCATTAGAAGAGAAGATGCATGAAATCTGAGAAAAAGGTTGTCCAAGAAATCAAAGCAATAAATGTAAAAGATATAAATAATATGAAGAAACGGGTTTACTTTATCTTGTTAGGTCATTTGGTATCTTTCAGAGCAAAAAGATATTCAAAACACCGTTCGTTATGGCTAACACACAGCTAGAGAAGGATAGAAACAGCTGGAATGAAAAATAATAATAAAGTTTGAGAGAGAGAAAGATAGAGAGAGAGGAGGGTACAAAGTGGAGTCAAAAAAAGAAAAGGAAGAAAGTAAGCAAAAGCAAAAAAAAATGGGATGTACCATCGTAGTAGACAACATGGAGACGATAGTGCTTCTCATATTTATGAAAACTTTAATTTATATGGAGGTGAAGTTGAACAGTATTTACATATAGTTAGTGTTGTGTTGTAGAAGAGAAAGCAGAACGACTGTATGAACAACGTGATTCATATAAAACCTGTAGGGTAAGAAAAAAAAAGTTATAATAATCGTAATTGTTTAACTATATGTATATAATGAAAATAATACAAAATAAAAGGAAATATCTGAAGAAACAATGAGAATCTAAGGAAGTTATATGAACGCCTTAGTCAAACAGACCAATGTTTAAAAATACATTTTTTATTGTTTTGTAAATGTTTTTGAATTAAAAAAAAAAGAGAAAAAAGAAAACGATAATGTGAGAGGAGTAGTATACAGATTAATAGAAGAGAGAAAGAGAGAGTAAGAGAGAGAGAGAGAAAGAGGGAAAAGAGTAAATGATCAGAATGATAAAGAGAAAGTTAAGAAGTAAGAGGTAAAATGTAATTCAGAAGCTATAAGTTGGAAATGGAAGTTTGAGAGAGGAGAGAAGAGAGCTAAGCCCATATGGATGTTCACATCCCAAAAAATCTCTTTTTATAGTTCTATTAATGATTCTTGCTATTTACATGTTCATAATAAGCTATCGTTAGGCAGTATGAAAATATACATACAAAGTAATATTTTAGCTTATTAATAAATCTATTTTAAGATATGTGAATGTACTACGTGCCCACTCGTTCTTCTTATATTAGCTATCGTTTTATAAAAATTCATCTGAATGAGCTTGTATAACTGAAACATAATTTTGAGACTCATCTTATTAATAAGCTTCAATTATTTGTATTAGCTTGAACAATCTTTCATTTGAACAATAAAGATCAATGAAGATCATGAACTCTCGTCATACAGTCAGTGAGCCATGTTTTTCTTTCACTCTTTACATCACTTTCACTGTTCTTTAGAAATTCATAATCGAAAAATAATAGAAAAGTAAATAAACTACTTGCAGCTCGTAATGCAACTGTTCTCGCATGCTGTGTTGGTTAAAAATAAAATTATAGCTGATAAGCTCATATGCTAATGAGTTACGCCTATCTGTATGCAAATTTCTGTCAATCAATACAATCATAACCTATATGTAAGCTAAGTATTATATTTTTTTTTTCAAATTTTTCATTATTTTCAGATTGAAATAAACATACATACATACATATATAGTATGAATAGATGTTATGAAAAGCTATTGAGATATCATCTTCAGTTGACTCCAACATGTAGATCAACACATACGTCATTTGACGCCAAACGAACAATTCTGTAAGAATATAGCTTTTTCATCAATCCAATGTTCATTCTTTCAGATTGTTCTTCTTAAGCAAGTTGATCATTCTGTATCGCATCTGAACGCTTGCATCTGATATGAAAACAAACTTTTGTTTGAAAAGCTTCAAGTAAAATTTGGCGACTTTAGTCGATGTTCACGATTATTTGATATATATGTTTGATATCGAGGAGATGAAGCATGCATGAGAATGTTTGTATATTTAGAAGAACGATGATGATGAGGAGAAATAGGTATACTTAACCATATTACCTGCACGTTCTTCTATTCATACGAGTGGTAATGGAAAAACGATCACGAATGATTTCGCACATTCACATAACCATCTTCATTCGTGACCATCTTCTAATAATGTTTAATATGTATCTATTTTTGTAACAAAATATTTTAAAAATATATTTTTTCTCTTCTTATTTCTCAACTTATAAGGAAACTGTCTCATCTCATGTTTCAAAAATTTTCTTTTGTTTGTCCAAATAAACATTTCAGGTCATTGTAGTTGTGTGTGTTTGGGTAAATACAGAAGAGAGTTGTAAGACTACCCGACATTTAAATTTATAAAAAAAAAAGAAAAAAAGATTTTTGTTCTCATTCTTTTATCCTTTTTTGAACTCGGCGATTCAGATGCTCCTACTTGATTTCACTAGGCTAGAATTGAGTTTCGCGTCTGACAGTCCATGTGTCCAGCAAAAAAAAAGAGGAAGAGGTAGTAGAATTTGCTTCCGCCATGGAGAGTCCGGATAAGAAACGGATATGTTATACGATTTCCAAAAAAAATGAAGAAGAATATTTTCTCACCGTGATAAAATCTTCTTCTTCGACGTAATTCACATTTTGAAGTGTCATTTGATAGCTTTTGATCACGCTGCTCTATCGTAACTCTTTTCGAGTGGTCATCCAAATATTTCATTTGTCCTATTCGATTTTGACCTGACATTCATCTTCATCCTCTTCCACTTCGCAGTTCTCACTTAGTTTTCGTCATTTGTGGTCATTCATATGCTTCATCTTCATCATCTTTTTTGTGAAAATCTTTTCTCATCTTCTTATCACTCAAACTCAAACAACACTCAAATGGGCGGATCTTAAAGAAGATCGTGTTAAGATGAGTGGAGGAGGGATTTAATTGACCTATTCAATCCTATCTCAGCTTATTCTCATCTTCATTTCACTATTTTCTCCTTATACAGCTGAACTTTTCATTATAGGCCTCTAGGCTATATCACAATTTCGTCTTGGTCTAGACACAGTACATTTGATAGACTAGCTACATCTTTACAAAACTGCCAATGCGGCTTCTTCTGTTAAGCCTAGCACTCTTATATGCAGTTAATGGTAATTTTTCATTAATTTTCATCATCGCTTTCTCAATATCTTTCTTTTTCTAGCTTCACCGAAGTCTAGGGTATGTGAAGTTGGGGATGAGTGTGATACATGCACGATTGCTCACCGCTTAGTTGGACAATGTGACGACCCTGAAAGAAAACAGTTTTTATATTGTAATCATAGAACAAAGTACATATCCTTTTTGAAGCTTAATTATAAAAACATTTTTTTTTAGAAAAGTAGGCGTCTCAAACTCGATGTATTTGGAATGTGTCGATAGAATTTGGGTTTACCACATGTGTTCTAGCGATAATACGTTGGTTTATAACCCAACAACTAAGGAGTGTGTTGATCCATCTGAAACACTTCATCATGCTCAAGGAACTTCTGGTGCGAAACATCGTTGAGCTAATTGTAAATATTTTTTTTTCTTTTAAGGTTCTGGAAGAGTCGGAGATGTTTGTTCTTTCAATACTGATTGTCTGGGTGGAATGTACTGCGCAATCGGTCAATGCCGTTGTCTCTCAACTTATATCGCTGTTGATGCTTATTGCTATGAAAGTATGATTTTAGTATTTTTGTCTTAATTCACAGTGTTTACTTTGTTTCAGAGATCTCTCCTTCGGAGTCTGGTTGTTTTTACGATGTACAGTGTTCGTCTGTATGGCCTGACTCATTCTGTAAGAATGGACAGTGCATGTGTCCAAATGATGACATGATTGCCGTTAAAACAAAGTTAGCATTTTTTATCGTTCAACCTTATTATTGATGCCTCAACTTGTTAGGGATGGAACAATGTGTGTTTGGGCTACTTCTGCAGAACCTGCTTGTCCGTTACCATCGCTTCCACCTCCAGACTCTCCAGCCGCTTTGGTGGTGCTACCAGCTGTTGCAGGTGAAGAAGACGTTATAATTCAGTTTTACAATATGTTTAGGGAAAAACTCAGTGAGCATAGCTCCATGCAACCCTCACAGCTCAAGCATACCACCTAACGCTGAATCTCTTCAAAGCGAAGCTCATGAATATAAATGTGCAGTGCAAGGAAATGTAAGAAAGTTGAAATTTCATTCATTTACTTTTTTTTTCAGAATGCGAATGATCTTTCTCCAGTAGATGTCTCAGATCTTTATGATTGCATCGATAACACCAAATTCTGGAAAGAACAGGGAGTCCAAGGAAAGAACCATCCTGTTGGAGTTTGTTGCATGAACAGAGGTGAATATTCATCTGAAACTGGATTGAAGAATTTTTTTTTTCAGCGTTCACATGTATGCAACCCAAAAAAGGAGAATCAGATGCATTAGGATCAGTACCTCGGTGGTGGTTCAACAATGTTATGGGTTCCTGCCAACAGTTCCTTTTCGATCCAACAAGTGCTGATGTTTCTCCCAACAACTTCGAAACATTAGACCACTGTGAAAGTTTCTGTAAAGACAGTAAGTTCTGCAATAGGAGCCGATCAGAGCAACTTTGAAATTTCAGCTTGCCCCCGAGGAAATCCTGCTTATCTACCCGCAAAGCAAGATATCGGACAAAGTCCTCATATTGGTTGCACTTCTTCCAACCCTTGTCCAGAGCCATACAACTGCTTAGAAGTTGCTAGTCAGAGTCTTTGCTGTCCATCAAGAAGTAAGAAAAACATAAAATTTATATCATCAAACTTTTCAACTACAGAGAACATTTGCTCGGATTCTGGTGCAAGGTTCAAGGATCCCAGGAGAAATGTTCCATATGATGCTGGTCTTCGGTTCGATCAACTAACAGGCGAAGAAGCTAATTTTGCCATGGGAATAAGCACGCGGTATACTTAATTCTCAGATTAACGTGAAATGAGTATATATATTAAAGATATTACTACAACCCTACTGATGGTCAATGTCATCCGTTTACATACAATGGATTCCTTGGAAATTTCAATAATTTCCATAATCAGGCAGATTGTCAGATATTCTGTGCAAGATGTAACTCTCTTTTAAGAGCAATTGGAGTAAACTCAATATTTAGTACAATGTACACATGGTAATCCTCTGACGAACGGAAATGGGTCTCCTCAAAGATGTCAGCGAGACGTTGATTGTCCCTCTACTCACACGTGTGCTACCGAACATGGCGTTTGTTGCCCATCATCACGTATGTTTATTTTGACTATTCATTATTTACGAGAAGTATCTAAAATTGTATTTGTTTTGAAAAGAAAGGTTCGCACGTGCAGTCTTCACGTGGATTTTGACGTAGAAACCTCATTTTACTAGAAATGTTGGGAAAGACTGGTCGTATCATTCTACTCATGATGCTATATTTATATCAGAGTAATAAAAAAATATTTTTGTTTTGCAGAAACTCTCTGTACTGAGCCATTGAGAATTGGTGATTGTAAACAATCTGTTCGACAGTTTTGGTATAATGCTGAGACGAGAACGTGTGAAGCTTTCCAATATACTGGATGTCAAGGAAATAACAATCGCTTCAATACATTGAATGAGTGTCAAAGTTTTTGTAAAAACATCAATGGTATACATGAACACATTATTACGGAAAAGTTACTTTGATTGATTCAGCTGAACCGAAATGCCTTCAAGGAAAGGCTTATGTTGACTTCTCGGGAAAATACATGCAATGCGGAGAGAGTTTAGGAGGTAATGGATGCCCCGCCAATTATGAATGTCACTTCGATGGTCTGGTTCATGGTTGTTGTCCAAGTAAAGGTAAGATGTGTTCTCATGTATTTATCACACAAATCATTTTTCAGCTTACACCTGTTCTCTTCAAATGAATAAGGGAATAGCATGCGGCTCCGGTAGCTCCTATAGATATTATTACAACAACCAGCTGAAGGTATGGACATATATTGAATTTCGTGCTCTTATGATAAAATTATTGATAGGAATGCCAATCATATTTGTTCCTGGGATGTGATGGAAATTCTAATAACTTCCCAACTGTTGAAAAATGTCAAAGTTATTGTGAGATTGCAGGTACCTTAAAGAAATATAATGAGAAGAACTCATTCTTTCTATTAAGTTTGTCCAAATGGTGGTTCACCCCTCCGAACAAATTCAAAAATTCGAACTTGCTCGAACACTGAACCTTGCCCACACGGTTACGAATGTAGCATGGTTGAAGCAAATGGAATAACTCAAAGAAGATGTTGTCCTACAAAAGTAGCAATATGCTCCAAACCCCCACAAATGGGAATGTTACCAAAATGCAGTTCAGGAACAGGTCAAACAAGGTAAACTACACTGACATACGCAACAAACTACCGAGCATGGTAATATTCGCTTATTTTCATCACATAAAATGAGCAGTGATGAATGTATACCATATATATGCCGTTTACCCGACTGAGACGCAAAGTATGCTGACGAAAGGAGTCTGAGCCAATCTTTTGTTATCGCGCTTATACGTTAAAGTTTGAAACACAGTGTTCGAAATGCTCTCATACCAAAGCATGTAGTTCCAAAATTTGTGAACATTTTTTACCTATATGGAATACGCAACTACCTACCAAGCATGGTAATATGCACTTATTTTTAAACCACATTGTGAGCAGTGATGAATGTATACCATATATATGCCGTTTACCCGACTGAGACGCAAAGTATGCTGACGAAAGGAGTCTGAGCCAATCTTTTGTTTTCGAAGAAAGATTGAAACACTTAGTTTGTAGCCTAACCTTTCTTTAATTATGCATTTATGAAAATACCATAACACAGTCTTCAATTCATCCCAAAAACAAAAAAATTTGTGAATATATACTTTATAATTTTTGCTTACAGATTTTATTTCAATATGGCTTTACAAACTTGTTCATCATATACATCTAATGGATGCGATACATCTTTAAACTCGTTCGCCAGTAAAGGAGAGTGCGAAGATTTTTGTCAATCAGCGGGTTGTGTTCCAGGAGACAGTGTGTACAAGGTTTATTTAAAAAGCGAATTAGTACTGATAATACTTTCGATATTGAAGGATCCCAACTCGAACAAACCATTCCTGTGCAACACGGCTCTTCAAAATAATTGTCCTTCTAATTATGCTTGTACTCTCAATGCTCTCACACAAGAACATGTGTGTTGCGGTTCCGACAGTATGGGTGTATGTCCATCAGGTGAAAAGGCGTTCATAGACTCGAGAACAAACACTCCCCGACAATGTGCGATGGCTGCAGATGGAAAATGTCCATCCGGGTACTTGTGTCGCTTTTCTCAAACAAATCACAAATATTACTGTTGTGGTAATGTGAAAGGAGGTTAGATTATAGACAGTATAGATTGAAAAAAGGTTTTTTTTTCAGCTTTTTGTCCTGCTGGTAGAGCCCTTTTCCGTTTCCCCACAACTCAACTTCCATCTCAATGCCATATTTCTGCTTCTGGAAACACTTGTCCTCCAGGATTCGCTTGCCTATCAGATGTTCCAAACGCATTCCAAGGATATTGTTGCAGTACAAACCGTAATGCTAATAACAGATTGAGATATAATTCGAGTTTTGATTTTAGCCATTTGCCCTGGCTCTTCTACTTTCCATCTCGATGAGAAAACAATGATGCCTACCAGCTGTAGTGCCGAAGGATTTGCGTTTTGTCCTCAAGTAATTTAAAAATATTAATAAGTAAGAGGTTAAACTTATCTATAGGGATTTACCTGCCAACAACAACCTGAAGGAAATGCTTACTACTGTTGCTCTGGGCAGGAGAAAGAAGGAGTTAATGGTTAGATCTATTCTAGAATTTGCACATAATTTTATTTCAAATGGTTCAGATGGATGTCCTCCAATGCAATACGCTTACATTTTTGAAGGAACTGTAAAGGGATGTGATCCATTCAATGCTGATGGTACGAAAACTGTTATTGAGCATACTGATTTCGATTATATAGAGTTGCAATGCCCAACAGATTATACTTGTCAATGGTCGTTGAAAAATCAAAAATATCAATGTTGTGGAACACGTCCTATCCGTCAAGTCAAACCAACTCATATTGACGATGGTTGTCCAGCTAAGCAATTTGCAATGTTGGATAGGAGAAGTGGAAAACCTAGAATTTGCACAGCCGGAGAGGTTTGATCTTTCTGACGAAATTCAAGAAGTTGAACACAAAAAAATTATTTTCAGACGAAAAATTGTCCGATCGGTTTCTTCTGTCAGTTTTCAGCTCGAAAAAACCAATTCCAATGTTGCGGTCAGAGTGCTGGATGCCCTGCACGTAGGGCAGCTTACATTGCTGTAGATGGTAATGCCCAAGAATGCATACCTGGTCCTGATATGTGCGCTGAAGGATATGAATGCGTCAAAAGCAGTATCTATGATAATAAAAACATTTGTTGTAGCAGAGAAGGAAATGGTAAGAGATCAACGAAATGAAAGTTTTACGTATGATCTTAGAATGCGCTGAAAACGAAGAGTTCATAAACGGAGAATGTGTAGTTCGTGTGAAGCCTGGAGGTGCTTGCCACAGAAGTGAAGAATGTGGAGGCGGAAGTAGCTGTATCGATAGTACATGCACGTGAGTTGATTGGAAAAGATTTACAACTGCTGTTTCTCATAACTCTCAATGAAACATAAAAAAGAGATTGTAAATATCTTTATAACTTGAGTTTTTTCTCTAGATGTGAACCGGAGAAAACGATAATCAATGGTATTTGTACACAGAAAGAATGCACGGAAAATCAGGTACAAAGAAATTACCTTGAAGTTATACGTTGAAATATTCTCAGATCCGTCTTAACGGACAATGTGTCGATAGGGTTGATATTGGCCAATCTTGCAAAAGTTCTTTACAAGTATATTTTGATAAGCAGTTACTCTTTTACTATGACATCATGATTTCAGTGTGTTTCAAACTCTCGCTGCATCGCTGGTCGTTGTGATTGCGCTAAAGGTGAGCACATTGAAGGAAACAAATGTGTCAAGGGAGAAGCTAAGGGTAACCATAACTATTATATGTTTATCTGTTTACGTTTTTTTTGCAGAAAAAGAAGAAAAACCTGAAATCAATGTTGCACAAGCTTGCCCTGACCGTTCTATGAAACCTTATCTTGAAAAGAAGAAGCTCAAAAGTTGTACTTCTTCAGAAGACTGCCCAACATCCTATAGTTGCCAGTTCAGCGATTCGGTAGAATTTTTATTATAAAATGCAAAAACTAATTGAATTCCCAAATACTTCAGGCTAATGAAAGCATTTGTTGTGGGAAAGAAAAGGGTGAAACTCGTAAAGAAAGACCAAAGGGGAAATCTATTACAAAGACTGGTAAACATCAAAGGTGATTTATGAAAGTAAGATTAATAAATCAGGTTCCCATTGTCCCATCGGAATGACGCCATACCTGCTCAATGGAAAAGCTAAAACATGTTCTACTGGATCATGTCCATATGGATATAGTTGCAAGCTATCTGAAGCATTGAAAGAATACTATTGCTGCTCTAAGAAGTTTTCGAAGAAGGGAACAGGTTATCATCAGACTGGAGCTGGATGTCCACGAGGATCAGCTCTTCTTTACCCCACTACTCAAGAGCCCGTACTATGTGAGCCAACAACTAAAGGCTGCCCGGCGGGATATCTGTGCTTGCAACACAAATCCAATAAAGTATGTGTTCATACTAAATACTAATGACGTATCATATCTTGCAGTTGTATCAATGTTGCTCAGTTGAAGCAGTGCAATATCCCACAGAAGCATCAGAACTGCATGAAGGTGAGATAGTCATCCAGAAATGACAGGAAGCCATTCATAGCGTTCACGAAATATATTTTTTATCCATTATCATTTCAGTACAATGTCCTTCATATATGGTTCGTGTTTATCGCGATGTTAATGGAGTTACGGAAACAATGTGTGGTAAGTATTATAAATCTTTTTAATTCAAAATACACATATACAAGCACAGAACAGTAGCGTTCGACATCAAGCACTAATATAATGAAGATATACGTCAAACTACATGCATGAAAAATAATAATTTATATGATTTTAGCTAGAGACTGTCCTAGTGGGCAAACGGCCATCAATGGAATCTGTCAAACAAACACATTTTTATAATATAATATAATTATTTAAGAATAGAATAATTTAAGTCTTTCAAATTTCATGTGATTATAATTGTTTTTGTCTTTGAGACAATTTTTTTGTTCCAAATCAACTGAAAAAAAAAGAAGGAAAAAAAATGAAAAGAAAGAAAAAGTAATAAGAGAATATGCTCGTACGTAGATACTATTGTATCATCTATAAGTTATTGTTATAAATTATATTTTATGTGTTGTTGTTTTATCAATTACAGTTGATACTTTGACCGATGATGGCGGAGCTTTGAATACTTTCAATCTTATGAAGTTACTGTATGTTTTAACTAGGAGCAGTGTAGATAAGGGGTAACATATCCCAAAGAATGGGTATGCTGATGCTATAAACGTATTTGCTGCAACTCCAGTGTCGATTTTGAAAAGCACATAGACAACAAGAACGGTTAGTGGTGCCATAAATGATATTAATGGGATTGATGTCTAGAAAATAATTTTTTTTAATTTATATTATTATTAATTAAGATTTTACTTGAATAAGAAGTATGTGAAAAACTTTCTCATGAGATTTAGCATTTGGAACTAACTGAGCAGAGTCGTATCTGTGAGAATGAAGCTTGTAGTATATTTTAAATGCACAGAAAGATATTATAGAAAACATTGCGAAGTTGTTGATAAGCAATGATAGGAAGGTTACGAACTTGGAAATATCTGTTTTCAAATCCTTAACAATTTAAATATCAAAGTTTCTTCCATATTAGAACTCACGTTTATGGATGTAGTCCGATAAGCTACTTTCTCAAAGTTTATATAGTTAACCTGACTGAACTTCTTAAAGAAGGCTGTAGATTGTTCGCTAGGTTGTAACGAATAATCACATGACCAAGAATAATGAACAATGAAAAGTATTGCAACCAATGTGTTTATAGCTTTTCCAGTTTTTGTAACACTCAGAGCATATAGATGTGGTCTGTACAGAGTAGAGTTTAGATCGCCATACGGTAGCAGCTTACTTGCAAAGAATGAGGTAGCGATAGAAAAAACATTGTGCTAATGTTCCAAATACGGTTACAAGTGTTCCATAGAAAACGTGGAAGAAAAGAAAAGCCACTGTCGTTTCAGCCACATATCCTTCCGATACAAACAAGGAACTTCCTTCGAAACAGTATATAACCTGCAAGACAATAAAAGTATAATTGAGTATATTATAGTGGGAGTACTGGTGATAAGCCCATATATGAGAATAAGCTTATGATGTTGATAATACCGAGAAATATGAATAAGTTTGAAATAATTCCAACAGATCGTTGTTGTGTGTGTATAACACAATAGATCATTAATGCATTTAAGAATAATCCAGCCAAAAAAACGCTTGTGCCATATATTAAGGAAAAAATTGACATCGCTGTTTGAAATGAGAGTCTCAAACTGAAATGATTATGAGATATCGTGAGGATTTGGATTGGTGAGAAGGCTGTGGGAATATTTCTAAATCAAATGACTTCTCTTCTGAGTTGTTTCATTGCATTTAATTGCTTTCTCTACTACGAATACGAATTAGGCACAAAAAAAAGAAACGAATTAACGAATCATAAAACAGTCTCTAAGAAACTCATTTATTGAAATTGATATAAGTAATCAGAGATAAACAAACAGTCATAAGCGATATGATGAGAAGAATGAAAACATGAAATCAGAAAATCAGAAAATCAAAATCGAACAGTAGTGGGTGAGACAGAAGTTGTAGCTGCATTTGATAATACAAAAGAACTACGATTACTTTCGAATACGGATCTTCGAGTTTTGATGCAAATAGCTCTCAAAATTAGGTATTTGACATATTTCTTATAATCTTTTATGAAAATGATGACGACGATGGGGTTGACTATTGGAAATATTGATATGAACAATAATACTGCTACTCCTGCCCATATGGTCATCTTTGAACCAGACAGTAGAATGTAAAGCATAAAGAAAACGGGAGCAAAGAGGAATATAATCGGAAGCATCGTCTGAAATAATATAATATAAAACATGATCTTAGAACCAAAATATGCCCCCCATTAATCAGATGAACTCATTATTACCTGAACGATTAACAGCTTCAGAATTCTCATTTGAATACTGCGGCTAGATGAGCTAGTATTTTCTCTTAGTTTGTTCAAGATTGCAACTGAAGTAACCGTTATGACGAAGAATACCGATCCGGATATAACAAAACAAGAGGCAAAGATACAAGTCTTCAGTGTATCTCCTTTGAGAGCCTGAAAATGAATCATCACTTGATTGATATAGCATCAAAGCTCTGTCATACTTTTACAGAAAAAGATAGATAGTAAGTTCCACCTAGTGGTCTTCTTATTATATCCCAAGCTAAGTGATTGACGTCATGCTCAACTTGCTCATTGGGCGACATTGTGTAGTATATGCTAAACATCCACCAAAATAGAAACATACTGTTTATAAGAATGGATACGAGTATTCCTTTCAATGTAGAGAGGAAATCATATAATTTTGGTCTAAAAGATCATATAACACATACATTCTATTATAATTATATGTCTTACCTGCATAACATGGCATATCGATATAAAAAACAGTTTCCCAATAATATAACTATTATAGCGAATGTTCCACAGAAGAAGTTCATTCCCATACAATTCACGAAATAATTGAATTTAAAAGGCCCATCAGGTATAATAGCAATTCCCATTTCTCCACTGAGATAGATCTTAAGACAAGATAATGATTATCAGGAATTATAGTTAAAGAATGAAAGGGCTGCACCCTATAATGACTTACCGGTGATATGATGCAACAGAGGCCAACAAAAAATATATCAATACCAACATATATAAAAAGAAATGTTCGATAACATCCGATGGCTGTTGATTTACATTTGATCATAGCCATGAAGAGTATAACGTTGAATATTATGGCTAACACGCACATGATGATCGACATGTAAAAGAGATAGGTGCTGGCACTGGAAGGCTCGAACATGACAAGATGATATCTTAGAAGAGGAGAAAAGGTAAACTGGATTTTAAAAAAAAGGAATATCTTACTGTCTAACAAAATGTAAAAAACTTACTCCATATAAAGATTGAATGAACAGTGCTGTTTGAACTTGCCAAATATGGAAATGCGCTGTAAACAGTTTGCTCCTAAGGCGGAGTTACTGGAAAACAGTTATATTTAAATGTAAATCATAATAATATGTTATTAAATAAGGTTTAAACAATAATAAAAAAGACTGTTTCTGTCCAAAATTCAAACAAAACAAAAAGTTTGAAAGCGAAAGACGTTTTTCTAACATGATGAAAGTAAGAGAGCAGCCTACACGGACAGTCCGCTTTTCGAAAGTTAACTCTCAATTACAACTAGTGGATGATAACCTTCAAGCATGTCTAACGTCTCTTCTGCTTTTATGGAATACAATTACCTTACGCTAACATGTACTTGAAACTTTAAAATTACCTGATAGTTTATACGTTTGGATATTCTGGTTTCCCAAGAACTTGCTTTCTTCTTACTCACAACTACTATGTTCTGAGCTTTGCGTAAGAGGAAAGTTTTGTAATCTTTAATGTGGATGAGTATCGGTATAGGATTGAATATGGGGAAGAGAGCAAAAAATGTTGGAAGTATTAACCGGCCGTAAGTAGGCAATTCGATTTGGAAGACATATGTTGCTATATGAATAATGCCTGCTGGTATGACGAGGAAGATGCATGGTAAGATACACTAAAGTAATTTTATTTTTGATTCTAAAATTTTATATTGAGTCACCTGTATGAATAAGAGCTGCAACATCTGCCAGTGATAACTTTTTGTAGATATACTAAGTTCCTGATTGATGCGAAGCTTCTGAATCATTCGAACAGTGAACATACAGATCGAAAATACAATGAACA